CATCAGACTCCATAGTTACCACCCTTCCTTGGCCTACCCTAAGGGGGGCGGACCTCCCTAAGCCCCGTGCGCCTCCACCTACCTCCTGCTACCCGGTCCGATTTTACCGGGCCCTCGAAGTTGCCTTTTGGACTCAACACAGTCTCCCTAAGTCCCTGAGCACCGACCTCGCTCGGTGGTGCCCGGTCGGTTAGCCTTAAGTCCCGACCGTTTCGACGCGCGGGTGATCGAGAAAATGTCCGGAAATCGTCGTGGGGGTGGTGACGTGGCGTCCTCTACGGTACATGCAACAGAATTTACCGTCACTGTCGAATCCGGCACGAGCGTTAACGCATTTCCACCGTACGATCCGTCCGGGGCGATCCTGGCCGTCCAGATAAGCCTGAACTTCATTTGGTAGGCCCACTCGGGAGTATACTCTGGGAAAGGGCACTGATATTTCAAAGGAACGGCAGCTTTCGCGAACCGTTGCCAATAGGCCGGGTACCCTTAACCTACCTTAACCCGGTCGGAGTGAAGAGGGTTTTGCTCAGGTTCTGCAGGAGTGCAGCGGTCTGGAACAGCTCGTGTGCTGAAGCAGTGAAGGCTGCATGTAGGAGCCTGGCCAGAGGGCGCCTTGCTAGGTAGCTTGATCTGCCCAGTGTCTGGCTAAAGTACCTGAAGTCATCTCATACTTGGTAGTACCGTAGTTCTTAACACCTTCGCTGTGAGCTGCATAGGAGGTGGTGGTCAGTTTCGATTCACGTTTGTTTCAAGGTATTGGGACGAAAGCGGCTTACCTGCAGATTTGCTTGTGGGCAACGTGCCTTTCTAGAAACTCAACTTCAAGTCGAATTTCTTCCACAATCTGGTGTCATCAAAGTAAGACATTGGAGGTGGTCTAGCATTTCACATTCTGATCTCATGCGACAAGTAACAACGAGGTGTTGATCAATCCCAGGAAAGGGGAATTTGGGTCAGCTTATAGTCGGGCTGCTGTAGCTAGCTTCTGATGGCTTTCAAAATAGCGGCCCTTAGCCGCATCGATGCTTATCCCCGGGCGGAATCGCACCTGACTCAGAGGACTATTTCGGGCGCAGCAAGTAAGTTCATCTGTGTGCTTTGAGTAGGCGTTTCAGTGTGGGCAGCGAAGTCTTGATTGTACAATCCCTGCCCTCCTTGCTTGGTCTTTACAATCAGCCTACCATTGTTTGGCTAACCCGAATGAGGCGGTCTTTGCAGTATCAATCATGGGAATATCCTTGATGGTCCTTCTCTTTGTCAACGAACTGCAATTCTACATGACACCTTACACAGAGAATGAGGTGAGTTTGCTGAACTAAACCTGTCCGTATGTTTCCAGTCTATCTTCTGCTTGTGGAGGCTCTGTTCCGAATGCCTCCGCTCATGATGCCTAAGCGGCTCTTCTCAAGCATCACCAGTTGGCATCAGACTCTATGTATGGCAGGAGGGTTCTGTGTATGTAGGAGATTGTCAGCAGAGTAATCAGCTTATGTGCTTTGTTTGCCTGCAGATGACCGTTGACGTGAAAGGACGGGAAAAGCTACCTATCCACATCAACATCACTTTCCCATCCTTACCTTGCTCAGGTTAGCACTAACACCCCATTGGATGACATCCAATTGTTCGTAGCTTATTGATGAAACAGATCCAGGTGCACTCCTTGGGGCATATGTATAAAGAGATTCAGGTGTGCTCGCTCTTTGGGCGCACCTGCGCTGCTTATCTTGCTCTCGGTGGATGGGAGTGGGGTGTTTCAAGCTGCAGGAATCCTTAAGCTGGCTGATGTCGGCAGTGCCGTCCTGTTGGTGCAGTTTTGAGTTTGGATGCCCTCGACATGTCTGGCAAACATGAAGTAGACATCAGCAACAATATCTGGAAGGTAAGACTCAGAGAGCGCCTTTGTTGATCAGTAGCCCCGTGTCTGCAGCCGCAGACATGGTCAGTGGCTGTTGCTCTTTCATCCCCAATATGATCTAGCACAGGCTTCTTGCTGCTGTTCATTCTAGATGATGTGCCATGTTTGGCTTGCTTTCATTGTGGCTGGTGAGAAGTGGTTCCATGTGCTCCGTACAGGCCCGCCTGGACTCCCAAGGCCGGCCTGGCATCTGGCAGCAGGTTGACAAGCTGGACCATGCTGACGATACTGCTCACAATGAGGCGCACGCAGAAGATACCACTGAGCATGATTTTGCGTTGGCCAACGCTCGTCGGGCTGCTCAAGCAGACGCGAACAAGCAGGTAGAAGACATCAAGGCTGCGTTGGCCAATCAGGAGGGCTGCAGGGTGAGTCGAAGTGTGGCCGTGCCTACTGTAGATCTCATTCGAACAGCTTCTCTGCTTGACAGTCATGGGTTTACGTGAAGAATCGGTTCTTTCGGCGCTCCTGTGACCGTATGGGACAATGTTGTTATTCCTTCCTCATCGACCTGGTCCCCCTCCTGGGTTTGATTTGAGGTCTTGCATCTGGTTTGTCGACAAAAAGTTTACAGCCAGGTAGAAAAGATGTGGAGTTCGTTTGCAGGTATATGGGCACCTGGACGTGGAGCGAGTCGCAGGCAACTTCCACATCAGTGTCCATGGGCAAAGCTACTATGTGCTGGGACAGGTAAGTCACCAACGTGAGCATCATACTCAGTTTGTAATCTTGCTTGCATTCCGTAGCAAGTAAAGATTGCGACGTCAGTTGTGAGTACCGTGCTGCTTGTCTCTAAATGTTTCGTAGGTACAGGGTAGTAGTCCACGAAAGATTCGCTCAGGGCCAAGCGGATGTTCCGATGTCGTGTCTTCCTCTGTTGCTGAAGAAGGGTCTCTTATCTCGCAGGTATTTGCAAGTGCGAGCACAGTAAACGTCAGCCATCACATTGAGTCTGTATCTTTTGGGCCTCCAATTCCTGGGACCACGAACCCCTTGGATGGTTACACCAGGATTCTAAAGACAGAACAAGAGAGCGGCACTTTCAAGTACTTCATCAAGGTAAGGGTTGACGTCAATCTCAGGGGGCTACTCAGTTTTGACAGCGGAGGCTGTGAAAGTAAGCCGTGATCGGAAGGAAGCATGAAAGCGTCCGTTTCCTAAGTGCAGCAACTGTCATGTTGCTCTTCCTCGAAAAGATATTCGTTTTGAGAAGGTCCAATCGGTTCTACGCTTCTGCTCTTGCGAAAGTATAGCCATTCTTTCACGATACTCCTGCAAACCCTGCTCGACATACATTCGTCCGAGACTGCAACGACCTTTGGAGTTGTGAGACATCTTTCACTCCAGCCCTTCCTCATCAGTTGTCATGCCGATCTGCTGCAGGTTGTCCCGACAGAGTACTTCCCTCTTAAAGGCGATCATGTGGAAACCAACCAGTACTCCGTCACGGAGTATTTCATGCCATCATCCATGCAACCGGGGGGCCTTCCAGGTAAAACGAGTGCACTGAGCATCCTTCAAGGTCCTGAATCTTCAAAGCCGCTGAGTTGCCAGCTAGGAAGCCGGTGTTGCCTGGATTGATTTGAAGCTTTGGAGGGAAAGAGCGTTAGAGTGGTTACAAGTATTGAGTAGATTCAGCATGCCGATGAGGCGCGTCGGTTGCTCTGTTGAACTAAGCTTTGTCCTCTGCTTGGACGTATCTTCATTCAAAGTTGGTTAAGGATAAGGGTTTAGCAGACTGGTTTCTCAATGAGCAGCACTTCAAGTTGGGGTTCCACGGTGGATAGCTGGATATGATCGGGAGCGTTCTCTAGTATGATCAGACGAGGGAGGTCGTAGCAGCTTCAAAGATCGGTTCATCGTTCAACTGAGATGCTTAGGTATGTCGTGGCGGTACAGTGAGGCTTGACCTTACAAGGAGTAATCTAAGGGCGTTAACAAACGACGTCATGCACAGTCGCTTGCCAAATATGTACAGAAGATCTGTGCAATAGGTTCCAACCCAGCACGTGCCTTTCCGACGGACAGTCCTCTTTGGATTGCGACTGAAGTCGTTCCTGAAGCCCGCAAAAACTGCTGTTGCTGACACACACTGTTCTTCTGTTCGGGTTACAGCTGTCTACTTTCTGTACGATCTTTCTCCCATTGCTGTCAAAGTCACCGAAAGACGGAGGAACTTCGGCCACTTCCTTACTCGGATCTGCGCTGTGTTGGGGGGCACCTTTGCAGTCACTGGTGAGTCAAAGGACCAATTGACAAGGTCCATCCACATTCGAGAGACCGTATCTCACCTGCACGAACATTGCGAAACCTGTTTGGCCTCTTGTGCCGCGCATCGAATCGAAAATGACCATGCTCTCATATCTTCCTGCCTGACTCCTTTGTTTTGAGCGTGCAGGCATGATCGACAAGTGGACTTACAAAACCGTACAGCTCTTTACTAGTCAAAGAAGTAGCGGTTCTCAATAATACGGGGTCTTCGATAGGTGGATTGAAGCGCGCACTCTTTGCTTTTCCGCTAGCATAAACGAGTTCATTCACCGGGTCAAGCAGGCTTCAGCCTAGCTAAGCCTAGACCAGAAAAAGGCGGCTGTGATTGCTCTTTGATCAATTGCGGTTTGCGTTTGGGCAGCCCCCGGTCAAGAAAAAGTGTGAGGCTTGATAGGCCACCAGTTGTCACCGTTCCTTTTGATCGTGCATTCAGGGGTTTCCACGAGCTATTGCGTATTGGGGATGTCATGCAAATATATTGGTTTGGGAACGGCAATTGAGTTGAAGCTTTCAGATTTCTTTGACCCCCAAAGACCGCTGCTTCGGAGCGCACGTCTGAGCAGACCTCTTAGAGAATTCCATGGTATGGCACATTCAGAGCCAAACGGTTTTTCGTCGGAATGCACTACAATTTTTGTTTGCAGCATGATCGGACCTTGACACATATAAGCTAACTGCTAGTTAATTGGATTGATATCCAGCATATAAGCAAAAAGACTTTCTTCAAATGCACCTCGTCTATACCGTCGCATGAATATGCATCATGCAGGGAAAACAATCAGCAATGTGTCATTTGTAAGGTGGCAGCAATTATTTTTTGTCAACCACACATAATGAAACTAGTGTGCGATCGGAATGAAACCCAATTGCGATCGAGCGGTCAAAGTCATACAGCATTCAGCATGTGCGATCTGTTGCGCCGCCGGTGCATGCACATGGAATTGCCGATCGACATCGCACAGAATATAAGGATTTACATATCGTACCGTATACTACTGGCATATATGCATGGCCGGACGTACCAAGTGCGGTTGGAGGTCGAAAACTAGCTCTATCTCATGACTAGCTCTCATGCTAGTACTGAACCTTCGATGGTTTCTTTTGGTCTAGCACATGCCAGGTTGAGTATGTCACCATTTGATGTTCACGTAGCGGTCATGGACGGGGATCGTGGTTTGATACTCGATCGCTTTAAAACTTTTCCTAGCTGGACTTTGAACTCTTACGCTTGACAAGCCGCGCATGGTTGTCCTAGCTGAGTTTGCGATTCAGTTTGAGTTCGTCCGACACTGAGTCTTTGGTTCGGCCTGGCAACGCGACTAAGTATGCTAGCACCGAAGAGGGTGACTAATGCTGATGCAGCAGCCTCACGCTAAGTTCGGAAATATTTAGCTTTCACAAAGTCACTAAGATTCGGCAGGCTGAACACCAGAAACCTACTGAGACTTGACGTCAGCATGGACGGAGTGCGACATCTACGGTTTTCGAATAGCCTCTGCTCGGATTGGACGGTTCGATCCAGCTTCTAGGATTCGATCGCGCGCAACTGTCACTTCCGGTGGCAGCACTTGAGATTGCTACCACTAATACCTGTGCATGCAAGTGAAACGGGTCTTGGAGGTACCGTACCATCATAGGTATGAATGTCCGCCGCTGGCAGCGGCCGTCTGCTGGCCGCGAGCCGCCCAGTTGCTGTTGCAGGCTCAACTTCCGATCTTGCGTAGGTAAATACTACCTAGACTCAGCCTTCAGGGACCTCTGGTAAGTCGTGATGGACTTCTTAGAGCCGGTTGGGTCAAGTTGAGCACCCGGGGGATGGATGGAGTAAAGTGGGGTTTAGATGTGCGGTTGCAGATCGCGTAATACATGAATATAGTCGGTTAATATCTTCGTTGAGGTGCTCCGGCTTGTCTATGTCAATACAGTCGGCGATTGGAACCATGCTACGGCTTTCAACCCGTATCTTTTTGACTTCTTGAGGGACTAAGGCTTGTGCCTTTTAATATGGTAGAGCTGCTCTGCCACGCCTGAGCCTCGCCAAGTTTCTGGCACTTATTACACTGATGGCAGATGTTAGGTTTGCCGTTTCCTGCATCACCAAAATATTGAATTTTGTCCGGGTGCACCATGCAGTACTTCATTCGTGGCGGAAGCCGGCCGACATTGCTGTTCCTGTGTACGAGCTGAAAACGACAAACTGAATTGCATTGCTGCAACATCAACTGTTGAGAGCCCAAATAAACTTGATAAGTGGCAGTCACCCGGCAATCACACTCAACAGCTGAGCCGTGACGTCCCAAAGTGGTGTAAACCGCGGCATTTGCGGGCACAGGCCGTCAATGTCATTGTCGGGCAGCTCTTTTGTGGCGGGCTGCCGTTGAGCTTGCAGTTTCTGCAGTTCAAGCGAGCTGAGCACCATCCATACCAGGTTCAAAGGAAAAGCTTGCTGGTGATCTTGAGCTCTGGAATGCCCAGGCTCTTCAATCAGCCCTGTTCTTAGCTCAGCTTTCATTGGTAGCCAGCTCCTGCAGCTCGGTCAATCTGTCTTGTACAACTTTGCCGAAAAGGGGTCGCGATTGAATCTGGAAGAAGAAGAAAGATACCCTCCAGGCAGGTGTTTTACCACAGAGAGGAGCGCAGTTGACCAAAAGGGAGGCTCATGCGTCTTGGTCCTACGGGGACTTGGAGAGCACCGCATACTGCTGCCATAGCCCTGTAACGGAAATTCCGGGGGAAGCGCGCTTCTGAGACAGTTGTGCTTTGCAAGGATGGCTCGAGCCATCGTCCTCTCAGCGTTGCTTGTGAGCTGCTTGGTCGTATGCAGTGCAGGGCTTCCTGGCATTTCAATAGTTTCCCCAAGCGTGGGCGAACAAGGGGATGGAACACTAATCAGCATTCATCTAGCGCCGGGCACAATGCCCTTGAAAGGAGTCACAGCAGAAATGCTGAAGAGATCAAGGTTTGAGGTACGCATAAGCTTCTGACCATTTCTCCCAACTTTCTCGCAACGAGTATGGAACGATCCTAACCTGATCTACTTGAGCAGCTTTGAGCACTGTCTTGATGGAAGCTCATCCTTTTCACAATTTCTTCAAACTTGACTCTCTCTTCTGTATGCAGGAGGATACACTGGTCGTGGATTCTACCGAGCTCCCTGCAAAGTGCAGGTTCGACTCCGAGGTTGTTGATGGAGAGTATGTTCCAGCTACGCCAGCAAGTGCAGCACGGATCTTGTGCCGTGCTCCTCTTCTTGATGTGGGAGTTGCCACAGTGACTGTCTCCCTGGATGGCGAGCAGTTCTCAGCAGACAGCTCCACCTTCACCACCTTGTATGCAGCCAAGCCAGCCAAGGCAGCCAGCCGGCGCCTGTTTGGCTTTGACGGAAGGTGAGTTGGATAGTGTCAGCACCCTGAAAAAGCAGTGTGGTAACATAGCGCAAGATCAAGCAATTGGATCGATGACAAGGGAAAGATCAGGTCCAGATTGTGTTCGTAGGGTGTCAGTTCTGCCGTGAGGATCTTCAGTGCTGCAAAACCAGTAGCAGGATGCAAGCAGGGAACAGGTCTTCCGAGCAGGGTTCAAAAGAAGCCTTCTGACCAACGAATATTCACCTCCACTGCAGCTCTGGCAGTGTTGAGGAGGAGCTCCTTGGACTCCACAGAGAGTTGCTCGACTCGGACGCGGACATGATGACGTGAGTATCTTCCCAGCAAATATACGTTGCGGTGCTTGTGTAAAGCTTTCGTATCAATCTGGGAGCCAGCTTAGACTGCACAGTTTGTCGATGCAATTGATGGCTAAGTGGACTCGCATCTTCCAGAGCTACTTCATTGGTTGCAAGAAGCCCACCCTTGCATTGTCACCTCTGTCACAGGACCACGAGTGCTGTAGATACCAGCTTCTATGGGGGTGGCTTTTATGGAGCTCACGGCCGGAAGACCATGGAGGACGACGAGCTTCTCTTCACAGAGGAGAGCAGCTTGTTGCAGCAGGGGCTCGGCTCAAAGCCGGCAAAAGACTTCGGTGAGTGTACATTCTTTCAAGGCTCGCTTCCGATTTCTGAACCCTCCTTCATCGCTTAGTCTGCTTTGAGCACACAAATGTTTCCCTCAGATCGCTTTTACTGAAAGGAGGAGGCATTCGCACTGTCACGTGATATCCAAAGCTCATGTGGAGCCCGTGATTGATTTGAGCGCTTTAGAGATGGTCTTATAACGCGCTTATTCTCATCAGCCCTCAACGAACAATCAGCGACATTCATTCGTGGGACATCAAGAACTAAGACACAGAACTAATCAATCAACGCTCTCTTTTCCAGATGTGTGCGCTTTTGCCATCTCGCCCGAGTACGGTCCTTCCGCTGGCCACACGCAGGTCACCATCGGCCTGGCTGGTTCAATCCCTGAGGACCATACGACCTTCTTCTGCAAGTAAGGAGGGGAACATCATTTTCTGCCGTCTAAGACCGTTCTCCAAGTAGCTGCTAGGAGTTCGTCTCGATCAACTCTGCCAGACCCCGATGGAAGCTCTTGGTGTGCATATAATTAGTTTGCGTCGCTTGCAATCTCTCTCGCCTAAGGGCTTGCTCCCACACATGCAGGTTCGGCGATCTCGCTTTCAAGGCCTCCACTGTTACACCACCTGAGAGCGGGGAAGGACCGACAATGATCACCTGCACCGTGCCACCCCAGGTGCGCACGTCGATGCCAACACTGGCCGAGCTAGGCTCCTCTTCTGAAACAGCTTCCATGGACAGACCGCCTTCCAAATGTTATGGCCATGCTTGCAAAGTTCAAGTAGCAAACTACCTAAGGTGATCGGATCGCAATCCGTTCTCCGCCCCCAATCCGATAGTCTCCGCTGATTCTTGCGCTGCAGATGGGCAGCGAACGTGTTGTTGTCAGGATCAGTCCCGATGGCGTCAACTTCTCAGTGGCTGGGCCCACTTTCACGTATACCGGTGAGTGACGTCATCCAACGTGCTCCTGGAGTCCTGTCTGTGCGACGATTTCAGAAGATTCTCACAGCAACTCTGATCGACGAGAGACGAAGTGCAATTTGCTTCTGACATAGAGATCTGAAGTATCTTGCTCATTTGTCTATACGGTGCCCTTTGCAGCAAACGCCGAGCTCTACGGAGCCACCACTGACGCCAAGTTCACGTACCTTCCCTTCTCCGTGGACAACTGCGTCTTCTACGAAGGCAGCGTGGAATCAGGTAAGACAGAGTCTCTCGTTTGTCTACCTAATCACCTAACAGATCAACCTGAACGGCGTTCAAAAAGCGTCAAAGGGACGCAAGTTGGCCAGCACAAAAAGGAAACTTGTTCTACCGTTTCGTTCTTGTCAGTCGCCTTCCCTCGAGTGATGACCTTTCCGTTGCCATCCAAAAACATCCCCAAACACGCCTTCTTCGTACAGAATCACTTTCTCAAGTCTCTTCCATTTCCCTGTGCAAGCACCATAACAAAAAGCATGCTCCGCTTGCTGACGCAACACTAAAGCCTCTGTTTCCCTTCTGCCCGCAGCCAACCCGAGCGCCGAGCAGGACGAGATCGCCGCCGATGCCGCGTCCATCGGCGAGGGCCTCTCCGGTGACGTCACCCGCGGTTTCTCGAAGCTCAAGCTGAGCTCCGCCCAGCACCAGCAACAGCACCGCCGCCGGCGCTCCCTCGTCTCGGAGGCCGTCTCTGAAGCCGCCGAAATCGCGCGGGAGGAGAACGAGATCGGCGAGGGCATCTCCGGCGCGCTCGAGGGCCTGGTCGCGGACGACATTGCGTCCGAGGAGGCGGCGATCGGCGAGGGACTGTCCGGAGAGGGCAGCGAACTGGACGAGATCCGAGCGGAGGCGCAGGAGATCGGAGAGGGCCTTTCGGGCGCCACTGAGGAGAGCGCTGAGCTGACGGAAGAGGAGGAGATTGCGGCTGAGGAGGCGGCCATTGGGGAGGGCCTGTCGGGCCACGCGGAGTCTGTTGACGCGGCGGAGCAGAGCGAACGGGCGGAGATCGAGGAGGAGATGCGGCTCGTTCTGGAGGGCGTGTCGGGCCACGCGGCCGCGATCAAGGCCGCGGACGACATGGCGGCCGCGCCCGCGAGCCAGAGCTTCCAGGACCTCGTCTGGGCCATCCGGTCCGCTGACGTGGGCAAAGCGCTGCGGTACACGCGGGGCCTGGGGATGAAGGGCGCCGACAAGCTCTGCACCGTCGATGGTGGGTGGAAGTGGCTCCTCGACGTCCTGAATGAGAACAATAATGTAGTGCAATCGGGCTCTGTTCCAAGTCAGAGAAGTCTCTACACACGGCTTGAGAATCTAGGCTCAGGCTATGACGGAACAACCCTTCTTTTGGATATAGAAATTTGTAGTGACCTTCGTAATTGGAGGGGAACGCAAGTGATTGCTATGTGCAACTTGACACTTTTCTCCATCTTCGACAACGCATTGTGCAGGTACATTGACTGTGAAGATAACCACGCCTGTCGCTCCCAAGCCTCACCCTTTACCTCCGCTCTGATGCAGGCTCCATCGAGACCATGCGCGCCGCCCTTTCTCACAAGGTCGCCGAGCTCAGCTCCCAGCCGGCTGTTTCGACTGTCCATCTCCACTCCGCTATTTGCTCCCTGGTCGACGTCACGGCCGTCCCGGCTGCCACGTGGACTTCCAGCGAAGACATCCTTGCGTTCATTGAGGCGTCCTTCAAGGCGTCTCTCAAGGCCGACACGGCAGCTGTTGCGGACATCAGCACCGCCGACGTGAGTTTCGCGAAACGAAATGCCAACTTCGTCAAGAAGAAGGGACTCAGAATACGTGCTTTTTACTGATCGCATTTGAAACAATTCATGCGTCTCTGACCCAATCTAGATTACTGAACGCACGCGTAGTATTGCAGCCTTTCTTGCCGCTGAACGTTCCGCCCTTCATAGGCGCCTGGCCTACGTCGATTGTCAGCAACGTCCATCAGACTCATGCAGTCTTGCCCACACTACTCCCTCTGACAAAATTACCTGCCCTTTCCCAGTGCGCCGTCAGCATCCTGAACAACGTGCTGATCGCGGAGGAGGCGCGCGCCAAGTGCCTGCACGCGGAGCGCGACGAGGGCGTGCTCGCGCAGCTGCTGGTGCTGCCCGCGCTCGTCGGGCGCGCCACGCTGCGCACCCAGCGCTCCGGCATGGCCGGCCTCGCCGCACAGCGGTCCGTGCTCACGCTCGTCGCCGCTAAAGGTGAGACGGGCGCAGGCTTGGCATCCTACGCAAATGTTGATATACGCCATCCAGCTTTAGGAATCGTCGAGACGCTTCTGCGTTGCACGCGGTTTCCTCTTCTGCGTTCATGGAACCAGTCGCTGGACAGTCAAAGACGTTGGCCTCCGTTGTGCTCCAGCATGTTCCTGATTGATACTAAACTCTTCCGGTGAACTTGGCCTGGCTTCACGTCTTGACTTTATTCCTTTCCGCCTTTCTGCAGTCGGCGGCAACTCCGCCGAGCGCGAGCCGAGCTTCTCCGCGCGCACGGGCGCGCACAGCTGCGCGGTGGTGGTCCGGGACGGGCCCCTGCCCGCGGGCGCCGAGTTCGACGCCGTCATGTACACCTTCACGGGCGTCACTCCGCTCTTCCAGGCGACCCGCTCGGGCAAGGGCAGCCTCTCCGCGCTGGCGGTCGAGTACCAGGGCGCGCCCCTGCAGGCCGACGTCGACGTCACGGCAGCGGCCGCGGGCGTTCCCGCGGAGCTTGAGCCCCATGGTGAGCAACTCGAATCGCACCGTCGTCACCGCTTCTCTAACTTCATTCGATCTCAAGTCTGTCCACGAGATCCTCTCATATCCTATTGCGCGAGGGCAACATGTAAGCTATATCCCGTGCCCAAGCACTTGGAACTTCAAGAAACTCGGGAACCTTTTCACGCTCTGCCAGAAACGAAAGTGCTTTGATCGTCAAAGGACTCGCTACAATGGCTGGCGAGCATCATTACGTGTTATTCTGTCTTTCTTTTGAATCAATAATTGGATTGGCGTTCAGTGTTTGCTTATTCCCCAAATCTCTACCTTGCAGCTGGTCTCCGCTTGTGGGCTGACGAGACCCTGATCACGCCGCGCACATGGCTCGGCTCCGCCCTGGCATCGGTTGGGCTGTCGCTCGCTTCCATCGGTATGGTGGCTAAGTACGCTCTGCTTCCCGCGTGCCTCGTCTGGCTGGTCGTCTCCCTGCGGAACAGGGCACGGCCATCCACCGGACTGCACAGCCCTCTGGTCAAGTCCGAGGTTTGAGCACTGTTATAGCGATAGGAATTATTTTCTAAAAGATTTGATGAGGAAGCCAGTGCGCTGTAAGAATGACCAACAGCCAGATTGAAAGAAACGACGGTACTGGTGGATAGGCAGGGCGTGGCAGCATACGATGGAACGTCACAACAGATGTCGTCCAAGCTGGTTTGAACGGCACTAATCGACGGATGGAAGAAACGCAATAGTGTGATAGGACTGCACAACTGGGACTCCCGTAGGAAGCTAGGAAGGGCCACTGCAACAGGATAGGGTGCTAACTATTTGCCGCCGATCGCTGGCAAGTACTAATGACCATCAACATCAGACTTGTGGCTGTCCGATCAGCCCACGGATCTAAGTTTGAGAGCAGCTGATAGCTTTTCTTGAGTTGTCGTGGAATCCTGCATATTGTGGAGTCATGCACGGCTTGATCAAGAGGGATCGGACTAAGCCATTTCACCTGAGTCTCGTGAACTTCTTGGCTCCGATCAGTTGATGGTCACATCTTTCTATACACGCTTAGGCACCTGGGCTCATGGCGCAGAGACAAGCAATTCCGGAGCTAGGGCTTCATAAAAGAACGTTCTATCAATATAGTTATGGAGCAATCACTGACAGCGAAGCAGCATGTCTAGCATATGATTCCTCTGCATGCTACACCTCATCAGGGCGTATATCACTTGGTATGAGACTTGATCAGCGTGTCGATCGCCGCCACTTCGGCACTCCATTCACCTGCAACCTGCCAGCCCTGATTGGAAAAATTCTTCGAAGTCGTTCAATCATGCATCGACGCTTGCATATGCCGCCTCGGACACCGTTGACCATTCAAGAGGGCCCAAAAGAGTACCAAGTTGAATGAATGCCATTGGAACGCTCGTGCTTACTAGAAGTCTCCACTGCGCTTCAGGGTTGTTATATCAACTATGTGTAACTGAGGGGCTGCGTGCAGGCTAGCGCCCGGCCTTCATATAGTCCATATGATGCTTGAAAGATCAGGAAGAAGCCTAAGTTGTATGAGGTGCCCCTTGTGGCGGCCGATTTTTGATTAAGTTACCCGTCCCCTTTCGAAGACCATGCTTTCGTGAGCTTCTTAAGTCTTCCCTTCGCAGAATATTGGTGAGGGGTGCCGAGAAGAACATGGAGCTGAAGTAGCACTGGGCCACGTTTCGATCAGCGAGGATTCTATCGCTGTCCGTCGGATCAACCAACCGACACGTGGAGCGCGGTGTTGAAGCCGACGCCGTTGCGTTACAGCGTTACGCAGGGTTTGGTTCCAAAACCCTTCCCGTAGAGTGACGTCAGTGACTCAGCATGTAGTCATGGCCGGCCGGGCGCAATTTTATTGCGAGGCCTTCCGGGGTACCGTACATTGACGGTGTGAATAAGCTAACCCGGGACTGGTAACGGTCGTATCGGAGCATTGCCAGGCTGTGCGTCGACGTGCCGGCTCGGCTCAACCTGTTACCATTTAACCCACAGAGAGTGCAGAACGAGTCTGCTTATAAAGTCTCTAGAGGGCATCCGGGTTTGCTAACTCGTCCTGAGTCAGGGAGAGTCAGCAAGTCAATGACCGTCTAGGGACGGCTTGCTGTGCTAATACCCAATACCGAACACACTTGCAGGGGCGGCCCTCTGGTCGTTGCCTGCTATTTTTGCAAGCCGTTCGGAGCATTACTTCATATGCCCTGAAACGGCCTCTCGCCGAAACGTTTATTCTGGCCGGAGCGGAAATTCGTGACACACACGCAAGCTTGATATATATTAGTAAGATGTCAGATATGTTTGCTCATTAGGCCCAACAGAGGATCGCAGCCGTCACCTGAAGAGGTCTCAAGTAGTGCACTTACATGGGCTTTTTGATCGATGTACGGACCATGCTAGAAGCAAACTGCGGCCTGTGCAGCCCTGCATGCAATCTGCCATGGAACTCTCAGAGCTATATCCTAGCACTGGTTATGATAATTAGGGTTGCAGATTCCATTATTGACCTAGGTTTCCCTTGGTCGTATGGATAGACAAACGCTTGATCTCCTTGCATACTTTTTTAGGGGTGCACGGCTCATGTTACGGGGCCTAAATCGTATCTTGCAGTATCCATCATGTAACCGCCCAAAGTCCAACGAAATTAGATCCACCGACCAATATAAGCAGATCAACGCGCGCTGCACTGGCCTAGTCGCTCCAAACGCCATGGCGCCACTCAAAGGATAACGTTGAACAGGACAAAAGCCTCGCAAAATAAGATCCTTTTCCCCCTCGAGCCTTCTCGATGAACATCATGCTTCCGACCTTCTTTCTCTGCATCTGGTCACTTGATTATCGCATCTTTCAAGGACGATGTGCACGGTCCCAGGGAAGTCGTGAAGGGTACAGCCTGGAACTTGGCAACTCCATCCTTGTCGGTCTTCAAGTCCTGCAAAATAAAAAAGAGAAGCGCTCCAATCCCTCTTCCTACCAGCAGGAGCCTTGCAGTAGCGCAGCTGGGCGCTCCTTGCAGCAAAGACAACGAGCACAGTTTCAACGATGCGCCTTTCTCAACGAACCACCATGTGCATCGAAATCGATGAGATCAGCTCAACTTCTTGCGTCTCTAGACTTCATCCATCAGAGGATATACTCACGGGCAGTATCTTTTCGAGCTGCTTCTTTTTGGGGTTCAGAACAGGCTCCGGCTCGCCATCGTACCTGCAGGAAAAGGAGACGGACATTAGTGACATTCAACAGAATGTTTCCTGCGAAACGGCGACGAGACAGACGGCTTCTAAGGCAAGCCCAAGAGAAGCTCGGTTAGTAATGAAGAACGATTCGGCTTCAGCGAAAGTATTCAGACAGCTCCTACAAGCGCAGAGAACACTACGAACTTTCACCAACGGTCGTCCGCAAATTGTACTCACCCCGGGAAAGTGACTTTCGAGCCCACCTCCGCACCAGCTGGGGGAACGATGGGCTCGCACTGCGTGTGGTCCTCATTCGAAGCACAGAGAACCTGTAACCAAGAAGAGTAATCACTTATCGCAGTCTCGATCCTTTCGCCAAAGCACGCAATCTCGCTCTGCCGAAAGCGGAATTTATAGCATGCATTTGCGAACCCACTGAAAAACGCGGATCTTGGAAAGCGGCGCTTGCTCAAAAGATTGGTAGAACAACGCAGCGACACCATTTCCCCCGTGGGTGTTCCGCCTCATATGAAAGGCAAAGCCCTAACACAAGGGACGAACGTGACCGCGTTCCCGCAGCACCAAGTAGATGGAGACCGGAATACAAGATACGAGCAGCGAGCAAGAGCGTCAAAGTGCAATCATGGGCGCATCGCATCTCACCAGGCCGCTGGACATAACGTCCCGCACTTTCCCCGGCTTCACGTTGGCCAGCACCACCACCTTTCGGCCCTGCAGGAACACGCACCGACCAAGGACGTCATAACGGGACTCCAAGTGTAATTTGAGAAGATGTGATTTTATACAAGCTCTACAGGACCAGTATAAGCTGGCAGCGGATTGGCAGAAGCTGCTTATGCAGCCAAGCGTCTCAAGGCACCAGAATGATGGCTAAAACAGATAGGAAGACTGGCATAAAGACGTGCAGAGAGAGCGGAAGATTTCTGCGGTAGCGACGAGACCTCAGGCTGCCACTGGCCTCACGTGCATCTGCTCCTCTGTGAGAAACTTGGCGAGGCCGCTGACGACCTGCCGCGGCGGGCCCTCGCCCAAATCAATGTCCTCCACGTAAAGCCTGTGGTCATGGAACAACAGCTTAGAGCTTTGTCTCACTCACGTGTGAAAGCAAGGTGGGCTCCTTCGCCTTGTTAGTGACTGGCCGGGGCGATCGACGGGGATGTCAGGACATCGTGAGGACGATGCAATACGTCGCCGTGCACTTCATTGCTGACAACGTGCCAAGGGTCTTGTTCTTCTTGTAAAGATGCCGAAATCTGCTCGGCGCAGCATCTCGCCGATAGTGAGATCGAGGGGCACCACCAGTTAAGCAGATGTCATAAGATCGAGACAAGACCATTTGATGAGAGCTGTGGCTGCTTACGCGTCGGCGTTAGGGTGCTTGGCCACTTTGGTGATGACTCCTATCCGGATGTCCAGAGCGCTAATGCTGACGTCCACTTCTTTCTTCACAGCGGGGGGCTTCTCCTTCTTGGCCTTCTTCTCCTTCGAATCATCGGCCTTTCCCTGCAAAACAAGACACGGAGTATAACAGTGTTGATATTATCCGCAGCAGAGGTGGAGCAGGAACGATATCAAGCCAAAACACGGCATACTTAGAATCGACAGACCCTTCAACTACCACCACTCCCTGCTACATAATCTGTCAGTCCGTCTAGCGGCTAGAAAACACTCCTTAACTTCAAGAGCAAAGAACGACCAACAGACGTCTCCGAAGTAAGACTGCAGAAATTGTGGAATCTGTAATCGCTTCCTACCTCCCCTGCCTTGGCCTCAGCGGCTGCCTTTGACGAGGTATCAGCAGGCTCCTTTTTGCCGCCAGCGCTGGGCTTAGAAGTCTCGCTGGTTGCTTGAGAGGCCGCTGGTGTCTTTGGCGGCGGCGATGCACTGCTCTCTGCTTCCGTTGGCTTGGCGGGTTTAGGGGCAGGGGCTGCCAAGGCCTGGACAATTAACGGAAGGCTCGAAATCAGGGCTTTTTGTGCGTATTTGCAAAAAGGTGACCCAGATTGACGGGTCGGATTGTCAATCTGTGGCCTCACATTTACTTCTTACACAAGGGCTTCCTTGGCCCCTTACTTCACGAGGGAGGCAAAGCACGTGAATCTGCTAGCCGCAGAAAGATAGCACAGCCTCCGGAACTCATTCACTTACCGGAGGGTTGAAGCTGGGCTTTTTGATCGGAATCTTCGTATAGACTCCGCTGATGTCACCGGCGTGCTGGATGTAGTCAAACCATCGTAGAAGGTGGGGCAGAGAGGCCTGGTCCTCAGGGCTCAGCGCTACCTGAAAAGGGAGACACACACCTCATTTCCGTGCTTCCAGATGCCAACAAGAGACTGCAAAGTCCTCACATAGAAGTCAAGATGATTAGGCGCGATCAAAGCCAGACTCTTGAACCGCACAGTGGTTCATTCTTATGTTTGTCCTTCCCACATAAGGAGCCAAAGATGTAAGGACAAGTTGTGGCGGTCAGGTCTTTCACAAAATCTCAGTTATAGCATCTAAGCAACGCGGTTTCTATTGATCTGCTGGGAAAGACGTTGAAAGCTCACCACTGCCTTGTGGACAGACGAGAATGCTGCGATGTCTGCCACTGAAATGGTGGTGCCGGACCCAAACAGCACCGCTCGCGGCTGCAGGTACACGTTGAGTGCAGCCAGCCGGCTGGCGGGGGTGACACCAGTGGGGCTCGTCAAGATGGTGTTGCTGTTGGTCAACCACTGTGCAACCTGTGGGAGAAGAAGCTCGCCTTTTGATTTGACGACTTTCTGGTGTTTCTATGTCCTGTTGAACTGACAAACTTTCTGGTGTTTCTATGTCCTGTTGAATTCGATAGAGTGCCTGCTGTGCCAGGCGCAATAGAGGAGATTGAAAAGTGCGGTGCTTGTCAAGCAGTAGCTGACTGCAGATGGTGGCGGGAAATGCATAAGGTCTGGTCTAAGTTGTAAATAGGCTCGAATTCTATTAGGTTTACGATCATTCTCACCCCAGCCTGCGCTTCTGGGGTCTCCCCAAAGAGTCTACCGAAGCAGACATCGCCCCCCGCTCGCGCAAGATATCGCGAGATGGTACCAGCGCCAGAAACCTCCCCATCGACAGTCTGCGCAATGGGCCCTGCCTGCAGGGAGCATTTGACATTTTCATACGTACCAATGCTGACTTGTGGCAGGGTGGTACAGGGTTTGCTCTTATCTGTATCGACCTTGTCTGCATTGAAAGGAGCACAGGATAGTGCCAACAGATCTACATGAGTCCTCTAACGGCCAGCCTAAGAAGTTTGAAGCTGCTAAAGAAAAGGACGAAACCAGCGGTTCTGCGCGTTTTTCTGATCATTACTACGTACAGAGTCTATTTTCCAGCGGCTCACCTTGCTGTCATTCTGAACCTCCACCACCACCTCACTGACCCAGCGCACCACATTGGAAACCAGAAGAACGGTCTTGGAAGAAGCGGAGTCGTCCAAATGTAACACAATGCCGGATGCTGGATTCCCAGGCGCCATTGGATCCGCGGGACTGGCTGCCAGAAGGATGCAACTACGGTATACCGTATAGTCGTTCTGCTCCCTTGATGAAATGACTTCAAGCTCGACAAGTGGTGGAAAACTTTGGGCTAACGGAGTAGTTAGCGTGGAGGGATTGCTGCGGTGTAGCTAGCTATAGCTCGCGGTCAGTAACGTTTACGGGGGAATCATCCCACGCGTTACTACTGTACAACTGTGGGTAACATGTAAGGTTTCAAAAACCTTGTTCGGTTTAAGGGCATGCATTCTGCAAAATAAATCAAGCATCATGCATCATGCTTAGCATGTGCTTTGTGCAGACGTGTTCCCACAGACATGCAAGTTACCACTAATAGGTGACGTGCTGTTCATTAAAACTTAACGGTACATGTGCTGAAGTGCCTGCTGCAGTGCCCTCCTTATATCTTCTTTGTATTTCATGCACATGCACATGGATACCTTTCGCGAAAATGATGATTGTGTAACGCTCGCAGTAAGGAGGTCCGGGTAGGTATACTCAACTGGAAACAATTCCTCCATTCAATAGCTCCTTGCGGGACATGCGCCATCACTGGGTTCTTGGATCCGTGTCTATTAGATGGTTGTCCAGCCAAACTTTGCACCAATCAAAGCTGGGAACCCAATCTTGGTTGCAATATGCATCCAGAGGGAAAGCAATGATGACCGCCAGCGATCCTGACAAAAGCAACTTGTTCAGTAACATGTCAGCCAGAAACGCATCGATGACGCCAGCTAGCATTCGTCACATCGATATTTCCAGATTCTTCAGGACGAAGTTCTATGAGCGTGTTCTGCCACGTCACTTCTTCTTGAAGAAAGACATAATATTCCCTTGAGCCCCCTTCTTGCCGCCCTTGGCAGCAGGAGCAGCTTTCTTCGCTGGCGCCTTTGGCTTGTCGGCCTCTTTGGCAGCCGCCTTCTTGGGCGCAGGCTTCGGTGGCGATGGAGGTCTGCATCATAAGATCGCGCCAACTAGTGTCCTTAAGGGGTTTGAAAAGACTCGAAATCCTTTACGTGTGGACGTTCTTAATGGGAGCGAATGACGCACATACATCAACGTCGGGTGAATCTTCTGTGATTGGGTGACCGTGCCATGATCGCCTGTGAGACTCAGCAAAGATACTCCGACCAACGCAGACCATGCAGCGTCAAACCCGATTCGCAGGTTTGGCTCTGCTCGCGCATGCCGATTCCAGTCAAAGAAACAGCACTCTCGTGCAGACCTACCTTGGTTCCGCTTTGATGGGCTCTGGGGCAACGTCAGCAACTGCTTCCGCTCCTTCGCCTCCCAGCTCGTCCTCCCAAACCATTTCGACGACTGCCACAAGGTCGACGATAAGCTTTTGATTTCAAGACTGGATTGCGAGGAACTTGTCAACTATAATGCTCATTCAAAGGATGACTATGCAAATAGAATGCTAACGCCATGCACTCTTTGAAAGCGAAAATGTTGCCTCGAAGTATCAGCGGTTGCCTCCTTGAACCCCCTAAGAACTCACGGAAACCGTCCGCTGAATTTGACCAGAACAGCCAGAGCATCTGGAATCCACGAACGTCAGTTCGGCCTCCAACGAGAACAGCATGACAGTTACAGATGCAGCTTTGACTTGAAGCAACATAGGCGAATCGAAGCCAGTTGGGAGGCCGCACCTTCTCTTCCCCTCTCATCAAAAGTGCTCCTCGCAATCTTTCTTCGTTTCGCAGCAGCCCCTCGACCCCCGACCCCAGCAACTGGCGGCTTCACTTCCAAGTGTTCCTCGGGAGGTGTCGTCTCATTCAAATCAACTGCATCCATCGCCTCCGCTTCTTCCGCCGCCCCCGCTTCGGGCTCCTCGCTTTCACGCATGACGACGTCAGCCCCCTGGTCGGCCGCCTCCGCATCTTCCATCGCAACGTCACCGCCATTAGCCCCCTCAGAGCCCCCGTCATCCTCTTCTTCCTCCTCGTCAAGCGCCACCCGTCTCCGCCGCCCTGCCCGCCCCCGGGGGGCCAACTCTTCCTCCTCTTCCCCACTGCTTTGCCCCCCCTCCGCCTCTTCCATCACTCGAATGCGGGCCTCAGCATCACCCCCCCTGACGCCCCCCACCTCCTCTACTTTTGCAGCAGCGGCCTTTGTTTTGGGGGGCGCCTTGCCCCACAGGTTCGCCAGGCCCCCTTTTGCCGGTGCCGCTTTCGATTTCGTTCCCTTTGCCCCAGTTGCCGGCCCTGCCTTCGGGGCTGCCCCCAGCTTCGCAGCTTTGGGCGCTGCGGCTTCAACCTCCTCGGTTTTGACAACGGGACTGGCGGGGGGCGTCGCAGGTTTCTCGGCTGTGCCCTTTGGAACGACTGGCTTGAGCGCTCCCTCGCCAGCATTCGAGGGGGGCGGAGCAGCCCTCCGCCTGCCTCCCGGGTTGCATTTGACGTTCGTCAACACCACACCACTCAAGCTGCAGAGGAGAGGATAGATTGAAGCAAATGACCTCCTGTACTTAACTCTCGAGAAAGTTGCATCACAAAGACGGGCACCAGAACGCCACAGTATAACTCCAAAAGACCTCTGATAACACCATTGAGACATCGCTGGTTCATGAGATGAGCTTGAGCTGTTCATCAGTGACCTTGTCCTCGTCCTTACCTGTTATTCCGCAAACAGTTATCCTCCTCTGGCGGCCGGTTGAACAGCTCCTCTGCCTGGATAAAGTCCGGGGTCCAAAGAGCAGCTGGGTCCTTGGGAATGGACGGCTGTACGCTGTAGACATGGGACGATGCCTCGTCCAAGTTTGCCAAGGCCCCTGCACACCCGCACAGTTCAGTGCATAGCCACAATCCGCAGGTTCGCAGCACTACACTTTTGTTCCCACAGAATCTGCTTCACTACAACAAACATTTGAGAAGAAAGTCCGAAAAGTTCCTGAAAGTTTTTTATACTTCCAAGAAACTCTGCAGGCAGACACCCCCGCGACTGCCTCTGCAGACACACCTGCATAACCAGGTTGAGCTGACGAGACCGACTGGGGCTTACCTTCGAGGCTACTTGGCCCGACCAACTGGAGGGAGAATGCACGTGAGTCATTGCGGGTCCAACCTGACACCAGGTACACTACCTTCACTGCGTCCTTCTTCTTCTCAGCATATGCCTTCAGGACCCTGCAAAGAAATGCAAAGATCAGAGGAAGCTGCTCGTAAGAGCTTCTCAATTCTGCATCATGTGTTGAGCTGAATGGCAAAATAAGAAGCATATTCCATGTACAGTGGGGGATCCCAATCTCTTCATGCATTCACTTCGTGCAACATAGCATGTTTCAATTGTGGCTCAAATATATAATATGTAGCAAGGAGTCAAGCCTTTCAAGAGGTCTTGAGCAGAATGTGCTCACTCTTTGGCAGTATTTGAAGGGAGGGAGAACGCTCGACTGAGCCATTTAAAGGACACCTGGACAAAATGAGCAAAGGCGCTGAGAATTCAGGAAAAGATATGCTTAAAGACATGAGAATGTTGTGAAGCACTCCGTCCAAAAGTTTTCCTGCGAAAGTGAGCTGGGAATGCTAAACTTATCAATCTGACGCTCAACCTCTGCACAGTCATAAATCTCAGAACTATGAGAGGGCCGGTGCTTTGACTTCTACTCGGAACTATGAGAGCGTCGGTGCTTTGAGATCTGCTCGGAACTATGAGAGCGCCGGTGCTTCGAGATCTATGCGACAACCACTGGCGCTCTCAGTGTTCCAAACGAACAGACTCCACGAGCTCCAAATTGAAACCCCGGCAGCATTACGAGATACCAGAAGTCCAGAGGCTACTTCTGTGAGTGCAGCTTCTTGAAACCCATTGAAATTGCCAGGCATTGCTGCACCAGCTTGTTCCTCAGGCGCTTTTGAAAGAGAGACAGCTTACTATCTTCTTCTCGTCTGCCACGAGCATGTCCAGATTGTCCAACAGTTGAGCATGCTCGTTGCTAGCCATGGCGCAATAGGTCTAGGAAGACGCACGGGTAGACTATTGACTGATGCTCAGGAAAGTGCCAATGGCAGCCATTGTTAGCTGCACAGAACTGATCAGGATGCTTTGACAAACTTTTGGCGTCTGCAGTGCAGCACGCACTTTCAAGGGCCTTCTCCATGGTATCTGGCGGGAAAGTTAACCCGCGCCAATTGGACGGTAACCTAGCCTAGCCACGTTACATGTCGGTTTAGTAAACGTCACTTTGCTGGAACAGTCTGGCCCGTGGTTCCACGTCGCTCCGTCCCCGAGAGACGTCTTTCAGTGCACGGCAAAGAAAACGTCAAGGTTAGCTTCTAACCATTTTGGGGTGACGTAGGTACTTTGAGAGAGAGGAGCCTGCACGTGGTGCGTGTGATCCTCGGCTCAGCTCAACCTATCTACTACCGTACCCTATCCGACTCTGAGTATCTAGCCTTGCGCACTGGATTGGATTCGTGAGGAAAGGCGCCAGCTGCCAGCTTAGCTAAGCATCCAACAAAAAGGTCTGTCCTGAGGGAAAGAATTTCTGCATCATGGGCTCCAGTGCTCTCGCCGCGCATCAGTCGCTGTGTTTTCGTCCGTGCGCATACGCTCAGGGTGTGAGCCGCCCTTCCGCAGACAGCCGGCAATCCTGTGTTGCAGGGCTGCCAGCTCTGAAGAAGTCCGCAGCTCCTTCATTAAAAAGAGCTCTCGCATCAGCAGACACATCATCTGGGCTGCGCCTGAGGAGTTCCTTTGCTTCGGGCTTACCTCTCAGGTGGACGCACAAGAGCGGGCCGTGCCCATCTGGACAGAGAAGCTGCTCCCCTTCAATAGTTTGCGCGGGAGGGGTTGCCGACATTGGGGATGCTGACTTTGAAAGTGAAGTAGTTGAGTCGCCGCTTCCGGTGCTGGTAGATTTCCATGCCAGCTGGTGTGGGCCTTGCAAGCTAGTAGCACCACTCATGACTTGGGCAGCAGAGGTGAGTACAATGCTGACACTAGGTTAAACGGCTGTTGAACTACTCTGGAGGAGTTTGTTAGAATTGGAATACTAGGAAGGTTGACGCCCCACACTTGTTTGCGCTCTGCTGCATGCATCTTGCTGAGCTTTCTGCTTCGCGCAAATGTCGATGTGGTCACAAAGAAAGAATCCGATTGAGCCGCACATTTCTCCCAAAGGCATCCGTGGTCTTCGTCAGGCCGCTCAGCATTAGGGTTTGTGGTGTTGCTTGGGTATTTGATGCTGCCAGCAGATCTTGAAGGTCAGCAGCCCGGCAGCAGTTGCGCTCATCGACTTGTTGAAGCCTGTAACCCTTTGGCAAGCTTCAAGCTTCAGGTCGTCAAGTCATCAGATTTTCGCCCATCTGTACCCCTGTGGCCACAATACAAATACATCAATTTAAGAGTACTGGAGACGAAGGGTGGGCTGTGACGCTTGAAAGTGAGACGGAGGTTGGACTGTGATGTCTAGTATGTGGCTGGTCAGTTCTGGTTCAATTGTACACACGTTTTGTGCAGACATATGATGGGAAGCTGAAGGTGGTGAAGGTAGACGTGGAGGCAAATCCGAAGACCACCGAGAAGTACAAAGTATACGGCCTCCCAACCGTCCTTATTTTCGAATCCGGAAAGCTCTTAACTCACAATGAGGGGGCCATTACTAAAGCTAAGTTGGACAAACTCCTGAAGGAGAAGCTTCCGGTGCTTGTATAAGAGATGCGGAGACTGCTGCGTTGTTATTTTTTGAGTTGCCTTATCTTCTGGGACGCCTTTGCACAATACTGATAAAGAAGTGCCTGGGTCACTGGGCCAGATATGTAAGTCAATTTTGCGATTGCATTGCTCTATTCAGACCATCATAGCGCAGCCTCTGTCCAATGTAGGCCTTCAGTAGGTTCATGTGCATTTGTCGAAGCCAGTAGTCTCTATCTCTCTAAGAGACTTGTTTGCTGGTAATTGAGTGTTTCCTGAATGTTGGATAGAAGCGGAATCACAACTAAGGCCCAAAGATCACATGCTGCACAATAGCACCCACCCGCATACTACCCTACCTATATGTCGGGCACATGTTTTGAAGACACTAAGTCATCACATATTGTTACACAAGAGATACCCCTCCATTTCAATGATTCCGCATATCTGCATGCCAGCAAGTCTTATGCCGTCCCTTTAAGTTCGACCTGGCCCCCATGAATCGGGTCTTGAAACGGATCAATTTGCGCTCAATCATCACAATTGGACGCGCAGGTGGATCCCAAAATGCGAAGCAGGTTCATGAAAGACTCTCTACCATCATATTTACTCAGTTGCAGCTACTGGTCTATAGTGCTTGCATGCATGTTTCCGACTTTTGTGCGATGAGTCTGACAATGATTGATAACGAGCAAGCAGTTTTTGACGCAGACGATCCTTGCGATAGCCCCGCCCAGCTACTCCAGCGTTATCAAGGAAGGCCTGGACATTCGATTGTATGTACATAAAGCTAAAAACCAAGTGGATGAATGGTTGAGTATACAACTTAATAAAATTAACAATATGTCTTGCAATATCCTTGTTTGAAGTCGACGGTGGGCCTTCACAATCATGCATCCGATATCGCAGGGTTCATATCAACAGGTGAGCATTGCTCATCTTCGACTAAGCTTACCCAGCATGTCCACAAACGAGAATCCAATTGATGATCGGCCATGTGCGCAATGAATTAGGAATCGAGCACCATCAATCCAAGTAGGATGGACAGCAAAAACGGCTATGGACAAGGCTATGCTTCTAAACTAACGTTTTTGACCACCATAGATCAAATACAACATGCGCACCGTCAATTGTATGTACCTCTTGACAGCTACTTTAGACAGGCAAGCACATATACCTTCTTGCTACAGACAAGTCGAGCTCAAAACTGCAGTTCCTTGATTACTATAAGCTGATTATAGCTGAATTGAATTGGGCACACCTGAGGCACAGCTAGCAATATTCTAAGGACTCTAAGAGAACTCGTTGACAATACAATTCTCCCACTCAATATTAACTTATCGACCTGATCTGTGACGCTGATCTACTAGATGTAGACCATAAATATCTCTAATCTGGCGTTAATTTCCCTGATATTCGCGATTCATTACACCATGAAAGCACCGAGCGGGAGCCTCAGCGGGCAGCAAACCCTTCTGCTTCCATCCAGTCAGCAAAGGCAGCGGTGTTACCTCGGAAGCCCAAGAGGTCCGCCATTTGGTCGACTGCGAGCTCGTGCTCTGCGGCGGCGGCCAGAATGTCTCTTATCCCCACGTTCCTCATTTGATTGGCCACAGCATCTGCAGAGCAATCAAGCTTCGTAAGAACGAACCCCTATGATAAACCAGCCCTCGAGCTCCAGAGCGCAGATGAGAGTCCCGACTCTGGCACAAACAGAGAATAAGATACCACTTCAAGATGTAAGCTGTGCTAGAACCTGAACGGCACCTCAATCATACACTGTGAGACTGGAAGAAACAGGAGACAGCTCACCCATGATGATGCCGTTCAAATTTGGCGCTGCTTCTCGGAGACTGAAGAAGCTAAGAAAGTCTCCAGCCGCGACTGCCTTGCACACTGCCAGTGCATGCACGATGGGTCCCTGGCTTTCCACAGGATACCTGCAGAGGTAGCAATTATCATTGACGAAGGCACTTCCTTAATCTCACAACGAGGCTGGCGCTGACCGCGAAGTCAACCGACTCAAAAGCAACGTGTCAAAGTCCTGACAAATCAGAGCAGACTGCAATCGTTGCTAGCATAGCTCTCGGCCTCGCCACATACTGATGATGCCCCTAACAGAAGATTAGAAAGAGCGTATATGCAGGCAGTAGTCCTTGACTTCAGACAGCATCTACCCAGTCCGTGCAGCCTACCTGTCCTCCAGAGCCGCCAGATTTTCCACTGGCAGGGCGCCACTTAGGTAAGACTGAAGGATGAGGTAGGCCGTGAACTCGTCACGGCTCCACACCACCTCCGCTGGCAGCCTAGTAAGCTGCGCTCGGCACTGCAATAAGGGACCGCGCATCGCTCATGCTCAATATAAGAAGGCTTGACGCAACACACTGACAGAGAAATTTGCACTCCAAACCTGTGCAAACAAGACAGAGGACATGTTGGGGCCAGCTTGCTGTTGCCGGTTGTGACGAGCGAAAAAGGAGCACCGAAAGACATTGCCAATGTCGCATAACTGGAATCCTCTCGGTCACAATTGCGGTCATGCCTCAATCACCGTGAGTAAGATACAATACCTGTGAGAACCAGTTCCAGTCCGCATGCTGGACAGCGTCTCTGGCCATGGTTTCAAGTACCTACACAGGAAGCGGCAAGAGAGGATTAAAGAGAGCTTGAAAAATACAAGTCGCATGTTGCAGGAGGCCAAGGAGTATCAGCTCAAGGCTCTTGTATCGGCTTCAGGCAATTGTGACTGAAGTAACTTCCCTATCTGTGGTTCAAAAAGCGATGGTAAGCAAGATTGAAGCCAGAGGTATGCGGATGACCAAAACTGGTTGCCACCAGTGATGGAAGGGGAAGGCATTACCCGCATCTCAAGAATCAAGAGCCGCCAAACTCGACTCACCCGTACATGCAGCTCTGTCCCCAGCAGACCCCGCCTAGTAAGAGCGTCCAAAATGAACTGCAGTTGTGCCAAGCGTTCGCTGTACGAACTCCCTGATGCTTTCACCCTCTTGAAAGCGTCCGTCAGTTCTGCTTGCGCCCTGGTAGGGCTGAGCCCCTCTGTGAATGAGAGGGGTCCCCGGCCATACGGGGAATGGTGGAGGGGCGAGGATGGCTCTAAATGCAGCGGGCGGTGTGCGTCAAATGCTCGGGGGCTCCCTTCGAAGCTTGTTTTACAGGTTAGTGTGGTGCGGGGCGAGTGGGGACCTTTCCTAGGGCTACTAAGCTCTACTCCCAAATGTGGTGCAAAGCCCTGACTTTTGGACGGGGAACTATGCTCGCTGTCACTGTGGTCGGACGGCGATCCTGGCATCGGCTGAGGAATCAAGAGGCGTGCCAAGGGGTCCGCACGGCTGCTAAGGGACAGCCTGCTCAATCCGATCGACAGGTCAGCAGGCGACGGCGGGTCGTGGTGCAAGGCCTGCGGCAGAGGAATTGCCCCAGCAGACAGGCGTCTCCCCGCTTGCAGGGCTGCGAGTTGCCCATCGGAAGGGAGCGCCGAAGACGGCCAGTTGTTGACAAACTTGACCCGCTCGCTGCTCAACGATTTGTTGAACGTCGGCAAACCTGATGCAAAGCGGTCACTCTCCGGGCTCTCCCATGAGAAGAGCACCTTTTTGCCTAGGTTTGAGGTGCCCAGTTCTCTGAAACTTTTGGGGGACACTGGCACGGCGGCGTCCCAACTCTTGGCCCTGACGTGCAGGCTGGTAAGGGGCAGGGTTTCATCGGTGGGATGTTTGAAGTGACAGCGCCTGCCGTAAGGACACTCCCGACCGGATGCAAGCCACTCGCACTGCTTGGTCTTGAAGGACGGAGGCCTGTAAAAGAGGCAAAGTGTTGCACTCTGAGTTGGGACTCATCCACGATTTGTAACTATTGAACAACTAGAAACAAGAAGTACATGCCTCAATCACCAATCTCAAGGTGCTCAGAGAATTCCATCAACTCCTTGTATACTCTGCTCTATACTTTATTCTACTGGAAAGGTTGAGATGTGCAATGAGGGAGTATGTGCAACAGAAGATATGACACCTGGAGAATCTATGGTTTTTTCAGGCTTGGACGGTCAACACACCTGATTACTGGCCGCAGCTCTTCCAGTCCATGGGCAAACTGCATGTTCAAAACTGAGGGTTCAGTCACCAGGCACAAAAGTGACGGTTGCCGCACACGCTCGTGAGTTCAACCGCTGAGACTTTCTTATGGCAGCATAGGGGCAAACACAAAGGAGGTGGACATGGAATAGCCAGAGATGCCACCTTCAAGTAGGAAAGCATAAGCCTGCGTTTCATGACTCACTGATGTGACAGCAGCTTAAGTACTGACTGCATATGCTCTGCGCAGAGCCTACAAGCAGCTCACCTGGCAAGCACCCCCGTAAGGACATACGCCTGCAGTTTCAAACTTGTTGCAGAGCTGTTCGCAGACGAGAAACTTATTAGTTCTCCTGTTAGAACTCAACACGCAAGTTTACGCCTATCCATTTTACGAGTAGTGATATGCAGAGGCCAGCTTCCGGGCTTTGGACTTCGTTCCAAGTAGCAGCTATCTTGTCCAGATGCAACCATTATAAGCTTGCACAATCACAAATATCCAATAAATTCCTACCTCAGTCTTGTAAGCTCCCTGCGTTGGAAGTCGTTTTACGGCGTTCTCGTAACCGCGGGGAGACTGCAACAAGAAAGGGCTTGGCCATGAAGCACCTGTCCCTTTGTTGGCGAATGCCATTCAGGCTGCACTGCTAACATTGAAAAGAGTTCGAGGGTGCTAAAGTATCTCAAAGTATCTCTTTCTTGGAATAGAAAAGCTGGCAGCTTCTAGCCCTTGCAAGCAACAGAAGGAGTCATGAAATGGAAAGGATGACGGCTCATCGCTGGCTTCTTTTATCCACAACTCCTGACAGACTAAATGCTAGGGTGTCGGCAAGTGTCAGCACTGCAGGGAGCATCAGATACTCTGAAAACAGCGTGAGCTGATTTACGGAAGGTTCTGGTTGGCTTGGACAACCAGCTGCCACATGCAGCTGGGGGATGTGTAGTGACCAGATAGAAATGGACACTTAAAAAACTGCAGCGATGAAAGTTCAATACTGCAACAATGGTCGTAGAAAACAGTGTCAGGGCGGAAGCAAAACTCTGAACTGTCAGCTTCCAAAGAATAAATTGTAAAGGCCTGTTAATGAATGCACGCTGTCGAACCTGGACAATAAGACTTACTTTTGGATGCTGAACATTCATCAGACGTACCCCTTCTTCCGACATTGTGGCAGCTGTCATACTCCGGCATCAGCGCTCCCTTGGCCAGTTTATTGGCTGACAACCACCGCCCAGCCCGCACCACCCTACAATAAGCAATGACAATGGGTCTAATCCATGGCCCAAGCTCGACAGCACTGCGCGCCCTGCCAGCACCACTTCCTACACTTGCTACCTACTACCTACTTTCACCCGCACCAGTGCCAGCTGCGGCCATGTCACGCGTCATCTGCCTGCGTACGATCCTACGCAGTTCAGCTGAGTTCAGCTGAACGCTGGCACATCATGAAGAGAGTGAGTGAGTGTCAAGGCTCGGTCGCTGCTCGAGCCGCAGGGGAACGGCGGAATAGCGGAACCAGGGTGTTTGCCAGCCTTTATATTTTGAAAGCCGCCACTCCGCCGCAAGCTGGCAGCTTCGGCCTATTGACACCCTTTTTGCTCTTTGTGCATCTCCCCCAGCAATTTGACATCAGCAGACAACTTCGTCAGTTCCTTTCAAAGACACGGTTGGCAGACACCTGAGACAGCCTGCAATGGTCGCACCAATTGATACCACCAATAATGCAGGGTCCATCATGCAACCATTGCAAGGTTTCCAGGGCCACAACCGCATTCTGTGGACGTACTTCTGGTTAGCTTCTTGCGTCTGCATTGAAGGGCAATCTGGGAGAAGCATTCTGCATTCTGCACAGGATTTTCATCAGAAGTGAAGTTGACAAATGCCACAAAGGAGTAAAACTTTGAAGCGCATCAGAAAGTACCAGCGGTAGGATGGTCACACTCACACTCCACTCCGCATCGGGGTTCAGAGAAGATGGTAGGGGGACAGTTGACGACTGAAGACATCACCAAGAAGCACTGGATGCCTCTGGAGGCGGTGCACAGATGCGTCAATCCTGGCTGTGGAGTCAGTCTTGCTGATTCAAGCAGCAAGTAAGGAGCCAACTCGAAGACTCTCCTTCGCCTTATCGTCTTCCAAGGAGTCTACGCTTGGGTCCTCAGTATCTGCAGATTAGGGTTTGCACTATGCAGAACAATTTACAGATTGCCCAACCATGATGCTTTGCAGCATGTCCTACTGGGGGGCATTTACAAATGGTGAACGTTTGTCGAGAGATGCCACCACCATATGAAGACGCTTCTCTTTTTTCTCCGGATTCAGTGTTGACGTCAAGTCTGTTTCACACTCCCATCACCTTGGCTTACCTAATCGAAGTGAGGAGAAATGCAGGCCTGATCAGAAGGAGCTCCTTGATCACCATCTGTACTGTTAGTTGTATAGAGTGTCCTTCCTTCACTTATGCCCAAGCTACTCAACTCGTGTCTGCAGGTATCACTGCTTCTCCTGTGGAAACATCTTCTGTCTGAAGTGTGCTTCTCATTTCATGCCGCTCGATCCGGGTACAGCTCAGGTGGGTTTCAGAGCCACATAGTACATGCATTAAATGCCAGTGACAGGATAGATCAGCGGGCTTTGACAGTCGGGCGAGAAAGGATGGGGTACGGATATAAATTCATACCCTGCCTTTGCCCATGCTTATGACGATTCAAGGGGGCATTGAGCTGTCCTGCAAGAGCATGGACGCTGCCGGAATGGAGGGGTAAACCCATGTGTGGCTCAAGCAACAATATACAGGCATCCCCTGTTCTAGGTTGGGGCCAATACAGGCTGGCCCCTGGTGCGATGCTTGGGGCTGGAACGGAAGTGGTAGACCTTTCCACATCAAGCAACTCTTTCCAATGCTGATTAAGGCGTCGCATTTGGCGTGCAGTTTACCAGTGGTGGCATCCCAGCCCGAGTGTGCTCCCTTTGTCTGGAGAAGGGGAAAGAAACAGAGGCGCCCGCCGAGTCACTGGTCGGGTGGCCTTTGTCAAACACAAAACTTGAGAGCTCCGGGGGTGGCAAACCTGTGAGCCCACCATTTTGGCAGCAGCAGAAAAAAGCCACCAGCTCCTCTGAGGTGATTGTCGGGGAGGACCCCTGTCCACAGATGGCTTTTAGCCACGGAGAACTTCCGGAAGCGCCATCAAAGAACGCCGAGGAAAAAAGTGAGCCCTCGGTCCAGAGTCCACCTGCTGATGGTGCTGTCACCCCCCCTGAGTCACATGTGACTGCTGGCGATGAGGAGAGGGGGAAGAGTGGACTCAGAGAGAGGGGGGCTTCCACCGTGGGGGCTGTGACTCTCGAGGGCTTCTCCTTTAAGGACGGGGTGTCTCAGGATAGACCAGAGTCCAGGCGCCCCTCGATTGCAGCTGAACCCAGTAAAACGACTGGCTCACAAATCCGAGGCCCCAGTGAAAAAGCCAACCCCCCGCTGTTCACGGAAGCAGCGAGTGCGCCCCTCGTTTCAGAGGGCAGTGCCGAGAGAGGGGCGGTCAACTCGAGCCGAGCTGCAGCCCTCGACCGGGCAGCTTCTAAGCAAGGGAAAAAAGGGAAGACGCGGGTGGTTGATCTGTATGACGAGCTGCTTGTCGGTGACACGGGTAGTCAAGCTGGGAGGGAGTCTGAAGGCGGAGAAAGCGATTTGCAGGGCGGCGATGCGGCCGGACCAGCCCAGGGGAGTAAAGGCGGTACTGGTTTGCCGCCCACTCGTGCCAGCAGTCTCAGGTGAGTATGGTTCAGCGTTTTAACTGGCGGAGGTTACACGTTTGTGCTTTCGTCGCAGCCTGGCACAGTACGTTTGTCTCTCTGCTCCCAATCTAGTACGACATACAATTGGCGAACGTCTCTGAGGTGGTACATGAAAGCTTCCTGTGAAGGCAAAAACATCTGTCGATTTCAAGCCAAAAGATGCGTCCAGTTGGCGAACATGGGCATGGTGATACTCTCGTTGCCAGGGTTTCAGCTTTCGACTGAAGCCTGGCTCTTGTGTGCGCCAGGGCTGCTCTCTCTTCTGAAATGAGCGCGGGGCCACCCTCTTCCGCGCGGCTACAGCGGACCTCTACACAAACTAGCGGCAGCGGCAGGTGGTTGTGGGGCGGCCTGCTCGGCAAGGCGCCCAAGGTCGATCCGCAGGTTTTAGAGACCAAGGTGGGCAGCCCAATTTTCCAATTGAACATCGAGTTGGGCTTCCTGTTGGAAGTAACATTCAAGAAGATTTCCTTCCTCCAGTTCGCAGGAGGAAGGGAGGCTGAGGGACTTGATTTCGAAAGGAGCAAACGGGTTGCTAAATGCAGGAGACTTGAAGCGCACAGTTCTAAAAGATCTCTCGAAGGAAATTTGTTTGCAGAAATAGTTGTTGGCATATCCGGTTATTTTCTCGTGGTACTCAGCGTCCGGGTCTTACGTTTCTTTCTTAAGACCTGCAGCCCTCTCCTCACTTTGAACGGTCCTCAGTTCGTCCAGGAAACTGACCAATCAAGAGGTCGCATTGAACAGCCTGTTCAGATACCGCACATTCAAAAGTGTGTGCATAGTGTCGACTGTCCTTTGCCTTTCGTATTGCTTCATTCATCTGTATTCCATTACCCTGAATGGCGTCTTCGCGGTTGGTCTATGCAGCTGTCCAACATGACATCAGAAATCCAGGCACTTCGAGGGGAGGTGACGACAGCCGAGGAGCAAGCAGTGACTGTTCAAGCAGCGTGAGTTTGCTGCCTCATACCACCGGTGCTTGAGAAGAACCTCGCAGCGCATATTGCCCTCGGATTCAAACTTCGTTTCTCTGCGCATCCTTTTATGCCGCTTCTGCTAGAACACTTCCTTGTTTCTCAAAGCCAGACCCCTCGGCTGAGTTCTCTACACGGGCAGGCTTGCATGATCGTAAAGGTCACTAAATGACGGAGTTGTTTAACTCCTTGACCTAGAGGCAGGCGAGGTCAGCGATATGTTTGTTTTGCTCGTCTTTGGTGGTCATGACAAGGTACTCTGCACGTCTTCCGTTCCCTATCCCTGGCAAGTGATGGATCAACCCTTTGCTCATTCTCGACGTGCTCGTTTCCGAGCCTGCCAGCAGGACCTCCCGGCTAAGCGCTGGTAGGCTGAGCATGGATGATGTCATCGGAGTGCATCTGATGCCAGGTTGCCGCAATCCTTGTCTTTATAACTGGTTCGCTTTGTTGTCTGCTTTCCGAGCTCCTCGAAGGCAACGCTGGTTAACTTGCTCTAGAATGTAGACTATTAGCGGAGTTTCCTCGCCAAGGCCCCTGTTCAGTCGTATCTAACGGTCATCCACACAGCGACAACCGCCTCTTTATCAATTTCGAAGTAGGCGCCTAAGAGTCAACGCTTTCCTGAGCATTTGCAAAGTGAACGCCTCGTGTTCCGATCTTGAGCTGCACATCAGCTAACCCCTCCCAATCTGTGTGTCGTTAGGCTGGACCACCTGGACGGCCTTCTGCGGTCAGCAGCCCTGGCCGAGTACCTCGTCATCAGAATGGTACGCGGCAGCGGCTTTATTCACGAAAAGGTTGCTAGAAGACGAGCTTTATCCAATCGGTTTCACTTCTCGGACGTGTTCGCCGCTTCGCGGATCTGTCCCTCGTCGTTGGATGACTGCAGCGCATGGTCAGTCGGTTTTTAGCTCCGGTCACCCTCGCTAATGTTACGATGTTTGCGAGGGGTCCTCTTCCCGTCGGCGCACGACCACACTCTGATCAGAACTTGGCGATGCAGTGTGCCCCGCAAACATTGACAAAGTGGCCCTGGCCATTCGCTCCCTGCAGCGCTGGCAGAGCGACACGTCGAACGGCCTGCCGTCTGCAGGCCTTGACGAGGGGAGTTTCGACGGAGATTGGCTGCAGCGCTTCCTAGTCCTGGAGGACGACACGCTCTCATACTACTTCCGCGCCACAGGTACCGTCCACCCTTTCTGCAGACATCTGTAGAGTTGGCGACGGCATCCGTTCTTGAGTATGAACCGAGCACGCACCGAAGTTGCATCGTTTACATTGTTTGCGAGACTGGATTGTTCCTTGAAACCGGCCCTTACTGCCCGTGGCCATTGTGCAAGTCGACTTATGTTTTGGGATATGCGCTAGGTCTAGACCGATGGTCATTTGATCCATTTTTGTTGCCCCTGCTGACTTTTTGACCTATTTTTCTTGGCAGATCCGCGGCCCCAGGGCACCATCCCGCTGTCGCAGGTTGTCGAGGCAGGCCCGCTGACGTCAGCCGGCCCGGGTGGAGCCGAGGAAGCTGCTGTGCACGGCTTCTACGTGGCCACGTGTCACGGCCTCCAGCTGCAGTGCGCGAGCGCTAACAAGTTCAAGGTCAGGCAACGGCCGAAATGAACATCTTTCTTTGTTTTTGCGGGTCCGCAAGAGCGCCCTATGCAGTTGTGTTGTTGTGCCAGACAGTTCGATTGCGTGCCATGCGAATTCAACGAGATCACATGATTGCTGCTTCCATGTACACCACAAAAGTCTTGGGCTTGTTAGGCAACCGTCGCTGCCAATGCCCCATTGAAGAGGGCCTTTTGCTGCTAGACATTCTGGTCAAAGCTGTCCGCACTTAAGAGAGGTTAGAACCTGGCGCGATCCTGAAAGTTGTCGTGCACGGATCTGGTCGGTAAGAACCGGGGCCTTTGGCAGTATGGAAATAAACTGCCCGGGGGTTCGACCGACCAGATCCGTGCGCCGACATAACCTGCATTTGCGTCACGCCCAACTTTTTGCAGTGCCGAACGAGGACAGGTTTACCGAGATCCCGAGTATGCTACACGATGTTACAAAGTGAACTTAGAAGAAGGAAGCATTTGATGCGAAAGCTTGCTTGTCGTTGACTGCTGGCCCGCTTGCGGGCAAGGCCACTCCTCAAGCTCGTATGGGCAGGGGCACGCCCATCCATATTTACGTGAAAAGTTCCTTCTGGCAGGTGGAGCTCTGGCTCACAACGATCAGCGAGGTGATGTGCCAGATCAAGCCGAGCGACTGATTGCGATGGCCAGCTCAGCACAGTCAATAAGAGGACAGCAAGTGGACGAACAGCATTGGTGAGTTGGTCTTCTACATCGACATAGACAATCTTTTTCGTGGCTTCTCCTGCAATGTGACCAGGATGGGCTATGTCGTAAAAAGCTTCGTTCATTCGTCATTGCAAGCCGCTTGATGGAAGCGACGGGTCAATACAAGATTGGTCACGGTGAAATGCTTGAGGATCTTTGGAATGATTGTGGCCTTTCTCACCCACTCACTCATTTGCAGCGCGTCTTACTCCGCAGTAATAGAGCACCCACCATACTTTTGGATCGTCCTGCAGGCACGAAAGAATCTTCCTCTTCCGATTATAGAGGCAGTGCTTGTTAGGGCGGAACAAAATACAGTATTAGAGAGACTCTTCGTTCGTCAGGAGGTGAGCAGGCGGTGCATCTCCTTGCTTCTTCATGTAAAATAGACCGATGTAAGATAAAAAGTTGGCCAAGAGATGGTGCAGCGCTGTAACTAGGGTGCTTTTGCAAAGTGGGCACTTACTGCAGGTTCGGTAAAATAGTTCTTGATAGAGTCATGATGCAGATCGTTCTTGTTGAAACAACACAACGCTTTATGTTTGATTTGTCAGTTTCAAGAACCCAATATTTGCCAACTCGATTTTCAGGTGGATTGACATCGCTGAGTTCCAGTCATGCTGTGGTTCCACTCGCAGTTGCACCCCGCAGTGTGCCGGTTCACCCCAAATGCAGTCACTATTTGCAGCTCTGCTTCTTGGGAGATTGGTTGACAGCTCTATCTTGATTTTGTGGATGCCGCCAACCGACTATTTTACTGCACTACTTGTGTGGTTCGTTGTGTTTTCGTGCAAGCCAGATTCGTTTTATCATGGCGACGCGAATGCATTATTCGTCTGTGAAGTCTGAGAACACGGTTATCGCTAGTTGGTTCCACAAGGAGCGTTCGCAAGCATGCATGGTGTTCATCGCGCATTAGAAGGTTGCACAACTATTGTAACCACAGCTAACATATCGAAGCACGCCATGCAGCTTGCAAACGACGCTTAGGTATTTGTATCAACATCGTTGGCCAACAAGGATTTTCTTGAAGATCACCGTCATCAATGTTGGTGCCAGGCCCCGTTATGTTGAAAACAGTGTGTTTTCGGAGCCGAAATAACGCATGAACAGTTCAGTTGGAAGGCGGCTGGCCGGGCGCGCGGCCGCCAGTCCGCGACGTGCAGGGACCGAGTCGCGGACTGGGCTGGCAAAGCGCATGTCTCTTCAATTTAGGTAAAGTAAGCTCCAAGTAAAGTAAGCTCCCAGCCTAACACTAAAAACCTAACCCTCAAAATCACCCGCTCCGCACCCGAACCCACCCTAACCCCCAAACTAACCCCACCCGTCCCAGGCTGCCTGGCTTACCTACTAGTTTAAATTGAAGTCTTATGCAAAGCGCGGCGGCGGCCACGCTGCGCCATGAAGAGAGTTTAGGTGAACCGTTGCGATGCCGCCAACTGTCGCCGTTTCAATGCCATGACCGTTCTCTCGGAGGGGTCCCTGACGTCAGGTCATCATTGGTGGGCCGACAGATTCCACCTGAGAAGATGCCACGTGTCCAACTCGCCAGTTGGCAGCCGGGTTCCGCAGCCTCAGGGGCAAGAAGACGCTCCGAGCCTCTGAGGTGATCATGCGGCAATTCAAGTGAAGGTCGAACGGTGCCCCAGTCTGCACGAAGCAACCGTGTGGGAGCTAGCCACTTTTGCAAGGCATACCGGTACCGTAACAACAGCGGTGTTGGTGAAGTCCCCGGCACCAGCATCTTGCCTTCACAAATCAACATCTTCCCTTCACCTCAATACATCGCTTCACCAATACCTGCCTGCCACCATGGCCACTCTCCAACAACCGATGGCTACGCGAGAGAGTCAGACAGCGACATGCTGTGAAATCATTCTTGGTGAGTTAACTGATTTCCAAGGATGCATCCTTTGTAGAGGCTGTTTGGAGTAGCATGTTGCGGGTGTTGCTGGCTAAAAATGCTCAGGTGGAGAGGAAGGATGGGATTCAACTTTGAAGGAGCTATTTTGACCCGTAAATGATTGATTGGCAGCTCTAGAATGATGGCCAGGTAGCTTGCCTGATGCTTTTGTGATAACTTCAGGAGTCATGAGATACGAACTGAAACCACGTGAAACCGCTCTGCGCTGTCAATATCGTCTGAAGGGGTTGGCACAGTGCTTTGTGCATGCAATTGCAACGCGTTGTATACTTCAAGAGCCAAAACTTTGACTGCAAATGCGAACTCATTTTCCAAGGAAAGTCTGCTTTGAAAACTTGTAACATCCTTGCTAAAACAGCCACATACTGAAAGGAGTCTTCCCTCTACTACAGCTATCCTTCTTCCTCCACTTGGGGTGTTTTTCCGGTACGCTTGCGGAATTGAGTTCTGGATCTGCCTGCTCTTGACCATCCTCGGTAAGTGCGCCTGAAAGTTGTTCATTCAGTCAATCTACCTGTGGAATCTTATCAGGGAAATTTAGAGTGCACTTCCTTGTCCTTGCTCCTGCAGGACACCTCTTCGTGCTGCCTTTGCGAGCAACAATGATTCGTCCACTAGCTGTCACGTCTTGCAGCCATAGCTATGTCTCCCAAGTAGTTCTTTTCAGGGCGCTGCTCCCGCATATATGGGGATCTGACAGCACTCAGAATTGCAGTGCGTATGCATTCTGTAGAACACAATGCCCGCGCATCCATCATCTGACAGTGCTGTGCGCATCTGTCTTGCAGGTTACATTCCAGGCATTCTGTATGCAATCTACGTCATTGTCCGATAGAACTTGGCCAGGTAAGGCCGTCTGTTTAGGCTTCAGTGGTTGCTGAATTACGGGTGACCTACATGAAACTTGGACTGCAAACTGCTCGCATTTCTGGGGATCCTAAGAAGGAAGGTGACACGATGTGGAGCCCAGTATGCAGAAGACACGCGGTACTGTGTTTCTCGCATGACAGCGTGAACAGTCATTGAGCTGTGTTTCGTGCCCCTTTGCAGCTATGGTTAAAAAACGACGCCCGCTTTTTTGACTGTGAGTCGTGCAGAGGAAGGTGAACTGTATATGATTCTAGCTGCTCCGCCCCTTGATTTGACAGTATACACAGCTCCCAACAAGCAGCACGCGCACATGTACTACTATAGAAGCTCAGAAAGGTTATGAGGAGCTTTATTGGACCTGGAGACAGTCATTGAGCCACCACGGCCAACTTGATAGGTCCGCAGAATCTGCAAACAACATTTTTCGAATTTTAGTCTCTGCTGACCTCCTGCAACAATTTCAATAATGGTATTACTTATTTTGATCATTGACCGTCGTAATTCCTGTGCAGTATTTTGGCTTTTACCTCCGCTGTTGTAGATTATGCTTCAGACTGCTGAGATTTGTCGGAGTTCGTATTGTCAGGATTCACCTAATCAGATTCCCTGGTCAGATTTGTCGGCTATATGTATATCAACAGGCTACATTGCCTTCCTAGTTGGAGGTTGGCATATCTTTAAGCTACACCGGGACATGTGTGCGAAGAGTGCCTATAATAGAGGACACAACGTCTACAGAACTAGAGCAGCATGCGGCAACTACCGGTATTACTTTTGGATGCAACTATAATAACAACAATAAACTTGTCAAAGATGCAAGTTCTCTGTGATTCTTAGTCTGGCTTAAAAGGATTTTTGGATGCTTCATGTGCAAGTGGCACAATCCTGGGTTAGTAAGACCCCGGTGTTTTTCACTGTCCACACGCCATGCACGGAATGCTGCAGTTCATTCGATTACATACTCTTGAATTCACAGATGCACTATGCCGGTTGCATCGGGTACATCCTGCAAAATTTGGTGTGGTTGCAAACTTGCATACACAGATACAGCACCTGCTTCAATCAGACCGATACTGTAACATGGCACAATCCCAGGGGGAAATCTTGACGTCGGACATTCCAACGTAGCTTAAAGAACGTATGTTCGAAAGTGAAAAGAGAAGTCTGCGTCCCGGTCATTCCAGTTGAAAACGCGAAGCAAGGAGTTACACTACTGGGGTGACGGCATGATGCCTGCTTATATTATATATAAGGCTAAAGTCAGGCTAAACATAAAGGTGTGCAGATGCCCTGTGCACAAAGACACCTTTCACAGTCGTACAGCTGACATTGTCAGCGACTGTACTTGTTAAACCAAAACCATTGTGATCTTACCCGGCACTCTCAAGCCCAGGCAGGATGTACGGAAAGTTTCACTGCATGCGTTCGCAGAGCGCAACGCATCGTCAGACGGGTTCTTGGATTCTCCGCTTGAGCGCCTTGCTGCAATTGTCGGCGTCACGGTGCGTTCTTTCCTGAGAGGCCCTCGACCTCGTCAGGCTGTTGACGATTAAGAAGCTGAGGCTGGTCTTGAAAAGTTTGAAGCAGAGAAGCTCGACGTGTCGCCATCCGCATCAGTGTTGACCAGCACGCACCGACCTCTTTTGCGAAGATTCATTGAAGCAGCTCTCCCTGGCGCCCTGAAAGTTTTCAATCTGGCCCATGCTCACTGGGAGCGCTAGAAGATTTCAGCAGCATAAAGCCATTTGAACTCCCGGCCGCCACGATGAGCTCCGTGGACCATGAGGCGACGCCGGTGGAGAGCAGAGGGGCTGGCGACGGCCGGAGGACGGGGACAGAAACCTGCTGCGAGCTTCTGTGTGGTACGACATCCATGAACATTGTTCAACTTTGGCAGCAGGTCTCCCGATTGCAACGCCTCCTTGGAACTCTGTCCCAAACAAGTGGAACCAATCTGGGTCTGCGCAAAGCTAACGATGCCGTCAGAGCAGTTCCGGGTAAAACTCCTTGAAGGAGTAGTCATGCTTGTGCAGGAGACCACGTGCATGCCGTTCTTTGCCCGCCGAGTTGGCAACAAAATTCTCGGCGCGGTCTCTTTGGCGCATGGCATTTGGATCCAATCGAAACATATCTGGGCAGAGCCCTTACAAGTTCACCTGCTAATCATGTCTTCGTGCCGTTCAGCTATTCTTCCGGCTGTAAAGTCGGGTACCAATCGGTGTTTCAGCTTGTCGAATGACCCGCAGTGCAGTAAAAACAGCTTCAGATTCTCCATATCGCGGTTTCTTACATTGCAGCCATCCTGCTTCCTCCCCTCGGTGTTTTCGTGAGGTATGGGTGCGGATTCGAGTTCTGGATCTGCCTGCTGCTAACCTTCCTAGGTGAGAGAAGCGGAGAAGTGCTTCATTCGCTCACTTGATTGTCCCTTTCGCCTCAGGCTGATATCTGGGGCTTCGATCACCGAATCACTGGAGACCTTCAGGCTGGGATGGATTAGCAGCATATTTCGTCCTTGTTGGATTTTCTGGGCATTCTCTCGCACCTTCTATCTACAAAGATGCAGAAGCTGCAGAATCAGTTGTTCAGCTCCGTCAACTTGACAGCTCAGGGCCAGAAGAGCCGGAGAGCTCTCAATACTGCCGAGTGTGAACTCTAGACTTCGGTCGCCGCTCGTGAAACCATTTCGTCGAGGACTGATCTAGTGCTTTGTCTTGCTTGCAGGTTACATTCCTGGAGTTATCTACGCGGCCTGTGTGTTGCTGTGATGTGGAAACATAGCTTGAAGTCTCAGCTGTACTGCTTCTAAAAACTGTATCATCAAACGTCCAGTGGTTGTGTCTCAAGCAATATGCCTGCTCAAGAGATCCGCAAACAGTTCCCGCTCCAATGACGTCGGTGCTCTTCATTGTTTTGCTGCCATTCTTCGATACACTTTTTGGTCGTGTAAGCTCGTTCTAGATTTGAGCTCTCGCTTTACAGTAAGAGATGGTGTGTCCAAGTGTCAACTTATTCCTTTAAGTCCTCAATGGATCATAGTTCAAACTCTCAACCGCAGCTTCCCGATCTATCCGTTTATAAGATTGGTTATAACGATGCCGAGACCGCTTCAGCTACCTGCAACATGAGGTGGAGATGGGCAATTCATCCGTGAAACAACTGAGTGCCACATTCTCTTGCCCGCTCGGCTTCCGTGGCTTTAATCTTCTGGAAAATATCACTTTGACGAACCACAGTTTTACATTTGTCTACGAGCTTTTATTCTCATCAGACCGCAAGTATGCAGAACTGAAGGGCTGAAAGCGGCCGGCAATTTGGAGAACACCTACCTATTCATCTATACTAGCCATGCACATGTTTGTTTCCTTTGCCATGAAGCTCCACTCCCCGCGATCCTTCTTCACAAGGCATCATGGTGATGCGGATGATGTCATGTTTCGTATATGTCCGTTATAGTTCATCCCTCGACATTCTGCAAAGCAATCTGCGGATTGTTTTCGCCGTACTTTCGACGGTCCAAGGACCAAGGACAGGTTTGAAACCCTGTCGTACACATGGGCTGCCTTGATTGCATCAGTATAAGGTCGCCCGGCTCCACAGAAATAGAAGACCGAATGGATCCAGCTCACATTCGAACAGGATCGTACTTTTGTAAATATCATTACCCGGGAACTTATCATACGTTTTTCTGGTGCACGTGAAAGAATCGCAAATTTCGATCTGAAATACTCGCCCCCTTCGACTCCCTCCCGAGAACTCGTTTTCCGTCCTAATTTTATCTTTTGTTCTGCTGATCACAGGGGTATACGAACTCGAGTTCTCTTTTTGTACCAACCTTATAGTGCTCGCTTCGGAATGATTGAAGCTTGCAGTTTCACCCTAAGATCCATCTGCTTCAAAGGGCCACCTTGCTCGATACCTGGGTGCAATGACATGTAACAAGGTAAGCTCGAGTCCAGAATCTGGAGCGGCTAATCGGGACCAATATCCAGATCGCAGCGGTTGCAACGAGGGTTGAAACACCTGAGGAAAGGAAGGCAAACTTATGGACCGGACTTTGCAGTCTTCCAGCAGTGCGGCGACAACTCACAAGCAGCAGACATCCTCAGAAGTCTATTAAGAAATTTTTCGATCAAGCATTCAATTGCATCGATTGAGAGTGTTTCGGTTGAGCCTTGCATAAATGCTTACCCATGTCTGACTTTACCGAAGGAGAACGTAAAGTGCGTAAAGGATACCGGGAACGTAACCTGCGACAGAAAAGACTTCTCCTTGTGATTCGTAAGTGGGCGACATGTAAAGCATCATTCAAGGGTTCTTGCGGCCAAGAGAAGCCTCCAGCCAGGCCTCTTTAATTCAGGGCCAAACAGTATGTGTGTTCTTTTGAGCGAGTTTATCCTACATAACAGAGTGAAAGGCGCAACTCATCCGAACAGAAAAGAAGACGCTTGGGCAGCAAGAAGTAATTGGGCAGGTGTTCTGACAGACAAAGGAAATCTTTTTTTTTGAGATCTGACAGATGATGATGTTATCCGATCGGAGAGATCAACCGTGGACGTCAGGTTCTTGGTCGAGTTGGTACGGCAGATCCTTCGAGTGATCAGGTCAGAAAGTCGTTTCTCTTGTCAGTTGTCCCAGAATTGGGAATTTGACAGCGAGCATCCTAGATCCTCAAACGGATTGCTGTGGTTGCAGGGGAAAAAACAAGTTTGCTTCCTTTGATGCTGATCGTCAAGCGGCGAGGAAAAAAAGATTAGATTCCAGATAAAAGATGAACCTTTACGTCCGCTTATTTACCAGCACTGCAAGGATGAGTCAGTTACACATCTATCAAAGTGGTTCCCAAAAAGTGTGTCACAAATGAAGGTGTGGGTCTCACCAAAGATTGTCAAGAGGAGACAAAGCCAAAACTCTAGCCTGCAGTCGTAACGGAAGAAGACGCCCACAGGAGGAAGCAGGATTGCTGCATCCAAAAGCAAAGAACTCTAAGAATCGATCAAACGTTTCGGGAACTCTGATCAGCAGGAACTTGTGCTAGCATGGTGAGGGGTAGATTCATCACAAGAATCTGTGGCGTATCACCAGTTAGGAAGCCTCCGTACCTCATGGAAGCATTCAAAGATCTTGCTTGATTTGAGCGGGGCTTCATGGACTAGCTGGATGGTGAAGTGATCAGGTTGAAGCTCGTGCACACATACTCTACGCTCTTGCATCAAGGATGAGTTACTCCTCCCCATTTTGCATCTGTTCCCCTGTTGCTGTCCTTCAAAGCGTGCAATCCACTCTGCAATGTCTCACCGCAGAGAATTTCGCAGCACAGCTCGGTGGTCGACCTGTTGTCGAAGCTGTCTTCCGCCGGATCATCGTCAGTGCCCAGCGGCGGAACGCTGGGCCGGGGCAGTCCCGTTGAGCTCATCGCAACAACTCAGATCTTCGCCGCTTCGCAAGCTGGCTCTTTGATACCCTCCGCTCTCGTGTTGGGTGTCAAGCATCACTTGTGCGGAAACCTCGAGATAATGTCAGGCTACAGTAGCTTTTCCGATAAGCTGTCTAAGCTGACGTGGCGCACAGATCCGAGTCGCCCCCTCGGCTGACCGGGCCGGGCCCTGCTCGCATGCACCTCCACGTATGCATGTACAGGCGACACAAAGCGCCTACTCTATCAGCTTCTTGGCAGGCATCCGTTTGCAAGTGAAGTCGGAGCTCTTCCTGCCTCCCGATACAAAGTGAGCTCGCCCTGACGCGTTTGGCGCCGCGAGGCTTGGGCGCCTCTATCTGAAGCAAGACGCCGCGCCCTGCATTCGTTCAGACATTGCGTCCGTGTCGGAAGCAAAGCGCCGCTTGGGCTCATGAGCGCTCCGCCCGGTGAGCCGCCCCGGCCGGAGTATGGCACCTTCGTGCGGGTGAGAAGGGACGCGGCCGCGCGCACCGCCACAGAGTACTGCTGCGAAATGCTGTGCGGTGAGCTGCTGCTCCCGGGTTTGAGGCCGGAGCCCCGGGAGCCGGGTCTGACGATATTGGCAGGTTCATGAGGAGGGCTTTTAGAAAGGTGTCCATGTAGAGCCCCCGTGCACGTCTTTGCCAGATTCCTCGCGAGGGTGCTTTGTTGGCACATCTATCATGCGGTTTTTAATACTCATCATACTCAGGCTGAGCTGGGCCCTGCCCACGATCCCGCTTTCTGCGAACATGAGATCGTCATGGTCCGTTGCGATTAGAGCTTTGCCATAGAGTTAAAAAATGCTGTCTCAGCAACTGCATAGTCCCAGCCAATATCTTACATGCAGCTGTCCTGCTTCCACCTTTGGGCGTCTTCATGAGGTACGACTGCCGATCCGAGTTCTGGATCTGCTTGCTTTTGACCCTACTAGGTAAGTACAGCCTGCCTCGATCGCTCAGGTTTTTAAAGTTCCAATGCCTGCTTCTGTCGATCTTCTTGTATCTCCAATCGATTCTGCCTGCTTATGCCGCTTATGTTGACAGCTCAGAATCGGTTCTCTGCTGAGTTTGCCGGCGAGCAGCCCACCTTCGCAACTTGAGCTCGACAGGTTCGGGCCCGGATATCAACGCCCCTGCCTGCTTTCAAACTTTGGGATGCTCTAAAATCATTTTGGAAGGTGCATAACAACTCTTCTAAAAGCTTGGTTGAACACGCTTGCTTCGAACACTATCACAATCTAGTGCTGAAACCTTCCCCGCGCGCATGGCTCGCGCACGACGTGCAGGTTACATCCCCGGAATTCTCTATGCGATCCTTGTCCTGACTGCTTGATCTGTAAAGGGCCTCAAGCCTGAAAGCATTCTTCAGGCGTCTCCGAACAGTAAGAAACACAGCAGTGGCCCTGTCTAGCAACGATGCTGATTAGTCCGGACTCCAGAAAACGGGCTTACGTAACCCTCATTTTCGTTCACTGCCCTAAGCAAGCCACAAACAAGCTTGGACTGCGTTTGCGTCAGGTTCTCCTGTACGCGAGCATAGATATAGAAGCACACATTCCAAATTGGCTATCTGTGATTTGCGCTCAACCAGAGCGAAACTTCTTTGTGGCGCATATGTTGTCTGCGATTTGAGCACTGCTGACGCAACACTCTCTGAGGTTCGTATGAGAATGGCTGCAACACATGCCACTGAGCGCCGCTCAGTCTTTGGTAGAGTACACCAAAATTGCACACTCACGTTAGCAGCGGACGCGTCATTCTATCCCTAATGTAATGAGCAAAGGGCGCCATAGATGCATGATCCTAGCGGGCATCATTGCAATTCACCTCCGCGACGCATCCCCATAATGTGTACGATGGAAAATTAGGGCCTTCTCAAGTTCCGACCGTACGCGGACGATCTTCCGCATTTGTGTTCCTTCAGGAGATTCTGCGCATTATTAAGCATTAGCAGTCGTTCACTGGTGAGCCCTTACTGGTGCTCTGGGGCCGGGGGCCCTCGAAGGTGCAATTTTGATGCATGATGAGATGCATCCTCAGGCTGGCTCTCCAAAGTCATCCACAACCTCAACGGGACTGATCCTGGCCCGATGCATGCATGGGTTCTCTGCTGCGTGTGAATTTAGTCGATGTTCTCGCGACCGTCCTTCGGGACAAGCCACGCCGCAAGTGAAGCTGTTGAGAACAAGCCACCCCTGTTGAGCGCAACCTCTACAAATTCGGTAGTTTTAGCTCGACTCTCTAATTGACTCAACTTACACTGGTAACGATGGTGCACAACACATACACCGTAGACGTATGTCATTGGGGAATCGTCCTCCACCTACTTTATGTTGCAAGGCTTACTGCTGTTACCCGCGGCACGGACAGTTCCGTCCTGTTCTAAACACCTTGAAAGCTAATGCGAATACCCGATGCCAATTTGCTATTCTACCTGTCGTCGCGGATAACCTTCTCAAAGTAATGGCAGGCAACCTTATCACTTCTCCTATACCTTTTACTTCCTCAAAATCAGACCTTGATGTACCTGTGCTGTTTGTACCTGTCAGACCGGCCTTCTGAAGACACTCGAATCCACCTCGGTAGCTTATAGCGAAACTTGACCCCACGATGTGATTGGTCCTTTGAAGTTCATTTCCTGCTCTAACCTGTCCCTAAGTCTTTCAACGTGATCTCGTCCTGTCGTTTCGACTACCTGCACGCGAAAAGGGTGCGGATTGCTGGTCAAGTCTATCCAATCGAGGCGCACCGAAGGTCCTCCGCATACCTGTACCTGCTTAAAGGAGGCGGCGGCACAATTGCCAAAGCCCTAGAAGGACCGGACTGCTGTGGCATGCGCCAAACGCTTGCAACGACGCCTGCCGTCGGCCTGTGCTCAGCAGATAAAGAACACCGAGAAACTGGAGTCCCATCCGGCAGAACATACGCTCGAACCACCGAAGCACCCGCACATCACCCAGCCGCCAAAACCACCTTCGCTGCTCAGATCGTGTGTTGCAGCATTGCAGACCAACGCTGGCGGTATTGGTGAATCCTTACCATGAAAACCTGGACGTGGGCGACCGCATCTACCAGCCAGGCGCGCTCGTGCACGATGTCTTTGATGCTGGCGCCTTCCTCCGCCACGATCTGTACCCACAAGGGGAGGAGGCGGTGAAATCTTGTAACCATCTTCAAGAACTGGTACTCAATATTCCTGCTCTACTACACTTTGCAGGGCAAGAAAGAATTCGGTCTTGATTTTGCGCTGAATTAGAAAAGGGTAACTGGGGAGGTGGTAGCGTCAGTTTCCGTAAGACACTCTCGACAGCAAAGCAAGAGGATTTTCAGGGGCAGATTATTAGACGTCCCGCTCTCCTCCAAATTGCAACGCCGTCACCCCTCCGAAAGCACTGCCACAACACCAGCCGCACTCCCCTGAGAGGCCTCCAACGCCGCAAGCTCTATTTTCGTCGTCGAATTGTCAACACTAAGAAAGCTTCTCTCACCTTGCAGAGCCCCGCAATACCTCCCGGTCGGTCGCTCACGATCGCACTGAAGCGCACGAGGCGGCCGTCCGCGGCGAGGCCCCGCTCGATGACGCGGCCCAGGACGGTGGTGTCGATGTTGCCACCGCACAGCGGGATGACCACCTTCTTGCCGCGCAGCTCCGGCAGCTGGCCCGACAGCAGGGCGGCCAGACCCGCCGCGCCGGCGCCCTCCTGGGAGCGGGACAAAGTTGAGGGAGTCAACTTTTTGAGAGTGCAAGTTGAGTGAGGGTTGAGCAAAGAAGGCACAATGTCAGAAGACCAGAACGGACTGGGATCACTAGAGCGGGTTCCGAGGGAGGAGAAAGTTCAGAGCAGAACTAGGATACTGGAGTGGCATAGAGTAGGGGTGGCGACCTTCAGCATACCTTCCTATGACGAAGGACCAGAATCAGGACTTCAAAGCGGATTTAGGAAAACAGAACGTTTCCCGGACATCGGTTCTGGCACCAATATGAGGGCGGAATAAGTAGACTAAGGCCATAGTGTGCGGTCTGACCTGCACCAGCTTTTCGTGCTCGACGAGGCGCAGCACGGAGAGGCCGATGTCCCGCTCGCTCACTTGCACCATTCCGTCCACCAATGTTCTGGCACGTGGCAAAAGGGCGTTAGCGTGTGGAAGATCATCGTGGATAGCTGTGAATGAAATGAAATGCATGAAAATAAACAGACAGTGTGAAACGGTTTGATCGGTCGGTGATGGCAGGGAAGCGGATGGGCGGCCATTGCGCCGGTGCAAAGCTAGGCTGCTCTTCACTGCGACGGCACGGACACCGAAAAGCATCTATTATCATGCGAAGTGTTCTGATGCAAAGTTGCATAAGGCGGATTGATGCTGAGAGGGTCTTCAGGCCTACTTGGCGCACGAGAAGAACTTGCGCTTCAGTGCTGCTATTGATTTCCGCACTATTCCAGAATAAGCAGGCACAGTCTTCAATCTCAACCCCAATCTTGCACAAGACGCTGACAAGATCGCCCAACACCGCTGGCCTCCCGAGCCACGAGGGCCCCCCTCACCTGGCCACTGCAAAGGAGTGCGGGCCAACGCAGGGCACGGCGAGGCCGTCTGCCAGCGTGGGGCTCTGCATGTCGACCCGGACGGGGTGTCCCGCGGCCAGCGCCGCGCAGAAGCTCGCGCACAGCTTGGGCTCCGCGCCGATCACGAGCACGTTCGGCTGGAGGGTCTGCAGGAGTCGGAATGTTGGGATGAGGATTTTGTACGCGAAAAAATGACGTATGTGAGTTTGATTGCTTCGATGAAGAAAAGACCGTCGAAGAGCTATGTGAAAGCGCAGTTTTGGGAGCGACGTGGGGGCTGACTTCGCCAAGGCACTCTGCACTTGGACGCAAGAAGCTAATCATCCGCCTGGGGGAGGGCTTGAGGGAGCCGATAGGACTTCTCCATTACAACGATGTTTTCCGTGATTGGGTTGCCAAGCGGATTAACGCGTCGCTGGGGGGAAGGCATGCCACAAGTCAACCGAACGGAGATGCGAGTTCTGGTAGTAACGCGCATTCCGGTAGTAACGCGCATTCCTCGGACGAGCGCTGGTCTATCACGATCTGCTCTGACGGCCACCTGTCCATCAAAACAGATAATCGCAGATCAATCTCATTGTTTGCCAATTGATGGTACGTCTTTACGCTCCGCTCACCTTGATGGCCAATGCAATGCCCGCGATCAGGCCTGCTCCGCCGACGGGCACAATTACCGCGTCCATGTCGGGGACCTGCTCCAGCATCTCCAGCCCAATCGTGCCCTGCAATTTGGAAAAAGACGCATTTTCAGGGTCGAAGCACTACTCAAAAGACTGCTGCCGACAGAGGTCGGCTAGCTGATGACTTCGACACACATCAGCGGGGGTGAACTGATTGCTGGCTTCCAGGAACACTGTCACAGCTTTCTCGTGGAAACTTGAAAGATTGATCAAGATCCCAGAAACGAAGCTCACACAGCTTGTTCCAAGGTAAGCCCTCACGGTTTTCGAGCAAGTCACTAACGGGCTACTATCTGTGGTCGAATGCGTTTGACGCCCTGTGACTCAAGGCTGAATTGGAAAGCACACGGCATGATCCGGTGGACTCCCCGTTAGGTCCCTTTTTGCCGTGCACTTCGGAGTTCCCCGAAAATGAAGAGTACTTCAGAACAATTGGAGACCTCCAGGGTTGAAGGCCCCCGTCTGGTTATCCTACAGAGAAAGAGCCCCAACTCCAGCAATCCTGTTAAGCAAAATCAGTTGCGCAAAACGCTCATATAAGTGGGCTGATTTATCGATCCCCACCCACCTGCCCTGCGATGATGTGAGGGTGGTCGAAGCCGTTGACATATCGGAGGCCCTCGCCCTTTACGTACACTTCATCTGCATATGCCTTGGCCTCGCCGATGTCGTCACCGTGTTGGATGACTCGAGCACCCAGGGCCTTGCATTTCGTCACCTACGAGGCGTAAAAGAAACAGATCCGTTGCCTGGTGGATGGATAGAAGGAGATCGGCACAAATCTATGAAGGAACTTGGCAGGAATGATAATACGACTCTGTTGGTCAAATCTGCCGGCTGGACGCCTCGTATGGAACTTACTTTCATCTCGATAGGAGTCTTGTCGACATCAGAGGATCATAAGAGCTTAGCAATCCTCCAACCGGAAGTCTCGCTCACCCTTACTGCTTACTCCTCGATAGACTGTTGCCGAAGCCTTCCCGAAGACAGGCGGATGGGCCTTCAATAAGCTGCGAACACCTTTAGTAAATTCAGAAGGCAACGCTGGCGCGATCACCTTTGTCAACGGGGCGCTTGCCGGCATGACCACCGTCACAGGGATGCCAATGTCCCGACCGTGCCACGCTAGACCCAGAGCATGGTTGCCGGCCGATGCCGCTACCACCCCCCGCTCACGCTGCTCTGCGCTCAGAAGGAGGAGGGCGTTCCTGGCCCCACGCTCCTTGAAACTGCATCAAGGGGTGTCGCTCGAGCCGTAAGGTGACCGCATGAAGAAGTGGGGTTCGACACCCCATGGAAGGGTGGGTCCCGAAAGTTATGAGGTCGTAGGCTGGGAATTGCAAGTCTCTGATGTCTTCAATAGAGCCAGTGCTTATGCGTCCTTGTGGAAATGCCTGACACAAAGTGCATTACTGTAATGATGATTGAAACTGCTGACAGTTGTAGGCACTGGAAAGCATTCTGGGTAAAAACAGTTACCGAGGATTTGGTCAAAGCAGAGCCCTCTTTCATGAGACCAACAAAGGTGGATACATAGATTTTGGTTTGGTCAACTTAAGTTTACTGGGCATGCTTGACGAGAAGAGTCTCCAACGAGCTGCAAGCATCGTGAGCGTACCTGCCTGTTCGCTGCTTGTACTCCTTCTTCAAATACAGCTCGCATCCGGTCAATTCAGAGAGAGCATCAGAGAGGGTGCACTCGGTGTTGCGGATACCTTTATGAAAGCAAACAAAAAGACATGGTCAGGTGCTAAGATCTGGTGCAGGTCCAAATCTGCTGTAGTCTGCATCGCCTACAGATCCAACTTCTAACCATTCACACTAACCAACAGCCGGGTCACAATCTTGTTTCAAGTTGAGAGACCTTGACCTCTTGCAAACCAGGCCCCAGAGCAGGTAACATGACCAATCAATTATTGTTGACAGACGGTGGTGTAAACGGATCAGCGACGACCCTGTATGCCCCCACTTGTCAAGGAGAAGGTGCAAATTGTGTTGCTTTTTGTAGTAGCTGCTACAGCTCACAAGATCAGCTTTCGTTGCAGCGGTATGCACAAGATGAGCTTGCCAATCAATACTGTCTCTGCTTCAATCGCTTGCCATCAAACAAAAGCAGGTGGCTTGAAGCTCTTTCAAATCCTTCAATGCCCTCACCACCCTTTAATGGCGATATCGTCGAGCTTTCTCCCCTCCACCCATATTGTAACATTTTGTCAGCAATTGTCCCAGGGAGTTAAAGATTGTGCTTACGATTTCTTGTTCGGTACATAGCCAGGCTGACGTCCTCAAATGTTGGCAAGGGAAACTCAAGTACTTGCTTCAGAGCTGGCGGAATTTCCTTTGTTTGGCCATTCTTCTGAAGCAAACCCCCCGAGCTTCCACTTGCAATTGCCATCTGCTTGGTCATTCTGATAGTTGAGGTGGCGCCTAAGGAAGGTTCTTTCTGAGCTGGGAGGGTTTCAGGATTGGATCCAACATGCTCACTGGTCTCTGAACAACTACAAGCACAGAAATTATGGCGCCTTTGCGACCGGTTCAGAGGTTGGCGGCCAGCAAATGTAGGCAACTGGCTTATCTGTTTCCTTTCACTTTGTTGCTTCAATGTGGAAAGTTGACACGGGGTGGATTTGCAACTTCTGGAACAGTTTGCCTGATGAAAAGCAGGACAAAGCCAGGGAATCTTTGTTCCTTGTGCTACACCGAGGCTTGCAGGAGAGTGCCAACCGAGTGCACCACTTGCGAGAGGCCACTGCACGTCGCATACCACAGAAGGCCCCATCGGCCTCACTACCTGCGGATCCTTTTGTCTGCTCTTTGATCACGATCACCATGAGCATCCAACTGTTTTGTTGGTTACGCCAGAGATTCAAGGAGGATACACAGTGACACAGCTGGACAATGCTGCGCCTTGCTATGCTTCTCTCCATATAAACCCTAACTTAGCAAACCCTAATTTTGAGTCCCAATGTCGTGCCTCTAAACCTACTGTCAGTGTAGGAGGTTTAGCAAACCCTTGTCATTGAACTTGAAGCTTTTAAAACAGACTTACAGTCTTTCTGCTTCTGCAAACTTGAAACTTAGAAAGCCTGAAAAAGCTGATGTGCGTTCGAGGCAGAAGAGGTAGCTGCAGCTGACCTACAGAGCTTTACTAATGCCGGACTAATGCACAGCTCAGTACTACAGCCCATCTGCGCTTTTTAGCTGCTTCTGCCCTTTCCTTAAACACGTTCCTCAAGCCTGATTCCCCTACTGCAGCTGGACCAATATTGTCAGCATTGGGTTCAGTGAGTCTTTGCTCTTCGTTGTGGTGGAGGAAGGTGGCCAGCAAGTCTGCGGATTGCATGGAGGAGTCAGCTCCGATGGCGCCAATCTCTGAAGACACCACCACCATTCACGCCCTGAATCCTCAAGTTCTGTCTCATATGTTCTCTTCCTTGAACTTCCGAGATTGTGCAGCTGTTGCATGCGTGCAACAGGCATGGCGGGTTTTTGCTGATGAGGACGACATCTGGAAAGGCTTGTGCCAGCAGGACTATCATTTGACATTAGCGGAGGACTGGAATGGGAATCAAACCTCATCTTTCAAGAAAGTATACGAGTCGTGGTACCTTGGGTTTGGCAAGAACCAGTACGGACACCTCCTTCCAAGGGCAAAGCGCTGCTGGGGTGCGATACTTGATTGGACTGGCCGGCACGCCCCTGCAATCGCCGCAACAATTTCATCTGGGGCGTCCGAAGAGGAACTTGACCACCTGGAGGAGGTGAGCTAGATTGTCACCCGCTAAAGCCCTTATGGACTTCATTTTCAGGTCTTTAAGTTGTTGGTTCCTTGGGAAAGGGGCATGGAGTGGGCATCTAGAAAGCGTTGCTTTCAGAAACTGGTCACTGAAGCTGTGGCTCATGTTGTTTGAATGAAACTTAGTTTGAGTTGTTGCCCTTTCTGAAATTAAAGCTCCTGGGTGACCACTTCTGACAGCCCTTGACATCAACCTAGCGTTAGGAAGGAGTGGAAGCTGCTTGACATTTCTGGGTGGAATCTGCAGAAGCCCAGTTTGTTGATGAGAAGGGGGGCAAGCATCTCGATTGAAAGTCTAAGCCTCTGGGCCATGCTTGTTTCAGGACACTTGGTTGCAGCCTTGGCTGTCTTCTTGCCACCTCACATACTGAGCTAACTGGTGGTGGACTGCTTTTATGCAATTCGTGCCATATTAAAAGCGCTCTGCTTGATGCCAAGGGACTTTGTGAAAGCACTCCACGAAAGCATCGCGCCAGCAAGCTCTTTTCTAATCTGCAGAAACTGGGCGCACCACTTCCCCCGGCGGTGCGTGTCGTGTACCGGCTCCACAATGGCCAGTGGGATGAGAGCCTGTTTGAGAGGGACACCCCGGAGAAGTTGGAACATCTATTCTTGGGCCTCCTCGGGGGTTACAGCTTCTGTAAGTCACTTGCCTCTCGAAGATAGCTCTTTTGACCGATTGTGAACTGCCCTTGTGAGGTCCTACATTGCTGTATCTAGAGTACTGGCATGGAGATGCGCCGTTGATTCCATACAACTCTTTGTCCCCAAGCTCCCTGACCAATTGAAACCATGGACCGTTGCTTTCCGAGCCTTCACAAATGTCTCTGGAGATTATGGGACTTCTCGATGATGTTTTACTCCTAACGACAGTAAGCTTCTCTGCCTCCAATCTCTTATCCCCACTCTTTCCCAACCAGATGACCGCATCGTCTGCACACGCCTCGTAAGAGCGCGCGAGATCGCCCCAGTCCGGGGCCACGCCAACCTGGTCCGCTTCGCCGAGTCTCCGAAGCGCGACAAATACTTTGCGGTGTCCCTGGTCGACGGCGAGGTTTACACACGCACCTTCACCGGCCATCACCTTCCCTGCTGCCCCCCTGAGTCGCAGCAGGGGGGTCCGCAGGCTGGGGCCAGTAAGGGGTCAGCAGACTATAATCAGGGGGAGGGGGGGACAAAAGTGGGGGACGGCATGCTGAGGTGGCTGGAGGAGTATGCACAGCGGTTGCAGGAGGGCTGGTATCCTATCAAACCCCTGTGGACGGGTGATCGCACCCGGGGGATTTCGCTGTTTCCAGAGACTGGGCCGGCTGTGGCAGAAGCAGTGACAAGAGGGGTCAAGGTGAGCAACTCCGAAACCGCAACACATGCGAGTAGTCTACAGGACTGGACCATTCATTTCATACAAGTGTTTAGTTTGAACCTCACTTTCCAAGTTGTGTTTCTCATCTTGCTGCTTGTGTGACGCTGTGATACTACCCTGCTTCATGGTCGAGGGTTGGGAACGTTTTCGACATAATGAGGCAGGCTCAAAGCGCCCTTCTCCTCCTGAGCAGAGTTACAGAAAGCAAGTCCAAAGGAAACCGATCGTTCAGCCTTCGTTTTGCTTTGTCTCGTCAGGTGCGCAGCTCCGCCATCTTTGTCCCGGAGCATTCTCACATCCACCCCCTCCACCCGGTCATCAACCGGTACTTCTTCGCCTACTCCATTCGCCTCTCCTACGAGCCCCCCGAAGAGGTGGCCGGCGTGCAACCCCCCCGAAGCGTACAGCTGCGGTCGCGGCAGTGGATCATCCGTGAGAATGGTGCGGTCGTGGACGAAGTCCGGGGAGCGGGAGTCATTGGAAAGGTGAGCGGCTGCTTGATTGGGTATTCTGAACGGCTGGAAAAATGTTTTTTGATCTCTGCTGGAGGAAGGGGCAGACAGTTCTGCATCAATCAGAAGTCATTAGGCCGCTAATGGCGGAGAGAGAGAGTCGGGGTGCTGTTTCCGGATGGGATTCTGTGAGGCGCCGGGCAGCCTTGAGCGATACCTCAAGTCGTGGACACAATGGCCCCCTTGAAGCCTGCGTCTGTAAGTTCTTGACGGGTCATCACAAGCAGTGCCAACTTGGTCGGGAAACAATATCTGCAATCACTTCCGCTTGTATTCTAGATTCTTCAAGTGCCTCAATCAAACATCTTTGCAGTCTCTTCGCCTCTTCCTTGGAAACAACTCCCCCTTGCTTCCTCAACTCTTGTCTCGTGATTCGATGGGTCCCTTCACTCAGCCTGCCGTGCTTCTTCTTCGGCCCTGCCGATTGTCGAAAGGCAAGACCTCGACTCCGTCCGGATGACACCAGGTTGATCACGGTTTCTGAATGGCTGGCACCCTGGAGCGCACCTGTTGTGGAGCTCTCCCAAGGTTCGACACAGAGACCCACTAGTGAGGTTCTCATGGGGTTCGCTAGATTTTCACACCGATTTGTTGCTGCTTCTAGTTTGCCGCTGTCCTCTTCCGGCACTTGTTAAATTCACTGACTTCTCCCCTTCCGCGCTGCGTGCAGTACCCGCTCCTGCAGCCGGGCCAGCCCGAGTTCTTGTACCAGAGCTGCAGCAACTCAAACTCCAAAAAGGGCTCCATGGAGGGATCCCTCCAGTTTGTGCCCGGGAGGTAAGCAGACTCGAGCCCGCTTTGTTTCTTCTATATATACCAAAGCAGGGCAATCAAGTTGTTGCGGTTTCCATTTCCGGATGCCTCGATATTACGTTTGATACCGGTCTATGAAAACATAGAGAGCATCAGGTATACATGTACGGACCCAACTACCGGTCAAAAAACGGCGAGATGAGCAGGCAAACGTCGGTGAAGACCAATGTCTCTGCCGTTCACTTCTGTCTAGAGCGTTTTGTTGTTTAGCCAAAGCAAGGCGGCCACAGTCCTGGGTCCAGATTTACACCAAATCTTTTTGGCATTAATGCTACCTTTTTCTTGGAATGCTCTGTATCCTGTCCGCCTCTCACGTTGGTGAAATCTTTACTGGCCTTTGGACTGGCCTAAATTAACAAGAAGCCGTTACTTCGAAGTTTGGACATTTGTGAAGGGACACCAGCCTCCACAAACTCCTTATTTGCAGCCTTTCGAAGCCTATCGGTCCGGAGTTTGATGTCAAGGTGGAACGGTTTCCGTTGGAGGTTCCGGACTTCATCTTCTGAAGACGACGGACTCCAGAAGACTTTCTCGCTCAGCTTCAAAGGGGACATTAATGTAAATACATCCGACGTGCGGGCTCCTTCTGATTTGCCACTTGAGCTAATCATTTACCCATTATCTCTTTGCGTCCAAGTTCGAACTGAAATAGATACCTTGGATACCCCTTACTCCTTGAATCATATTCGACACTGTTTTGGTCGCACCCTCGCAATGTAGCATCGCCTCTCATAATCGTCCTGTATGGCGGTGCAACGCGCTTGTTCGCAAGTTCCAGGGGTCCAGTGATCATGATGTCGTTTTGTCTGACTATCCTAGCCAAAGTCCAGTATCAATTACAGCATCAAGCAACCACATCTCTGGCTGCACATGTATCCCATGACAAATTAGCTTCCCTCTTCGGAATCAGCCTATGTGAGATGATCGCGTGCAGACATTTAAGCAGGGCTATATTGTGAACTGTTGTAACCAGTAGGAGAGCGGTTGACCCATAGGATCAGGTCAATGCATGTAGCCGACAAACTGCTGTAAGCTGAGTAGTATGCCATATCAAGCCTAGTGGACTCGGTGTGGCTCAGGCCTTTATATGTGGCTCACGCCGTAGCGCGGCCATGTGATATGCGGCAGCGTCGAATGCAATGCATGCAGCACTCGCTGCATGAACACTGCGAAATGCTCATGCATTTGCAGTGACCACTACTGCATTGTACCCAGAGCTATTGCTCAAGCCGCCCATGCTTGCTGCGCGGCGACTCAATTTAGCTGAACTGCCTGTTAGTACGTAGGTACATTGCCGTAGCATGCATGCACATGTGCTTGCACTTGATTTGAAAGTCCAAATCAGAATGTGAAAGCCAGACTCAAGCAGCACGGATGCGTTCATTTAGCAAGTAGTAACAATCCGACCAGTCTGACATGATTCACTCATGTTCATGTAAGGTGCGCAGACAGTGAAGCTCGGGTCATTCATACAGAATATTATCAAGTCAAATAGGTCAAAGTCAAGATTACGTGGAAGCCATGTCTTCCCATGTTATCCACAAGCAACACACAAGTTCTGAGAAAGGCCACTGGAAACATAATTTCTGAAACTTAGGAAACTTGATGTATTGAACAGGCGAAAAAGGAGTATAAACTCAGTCTCATTACAAGATCTCACACTCATTCTGTATACTACATACAGTGCGTTGATTACAGTTTGCCAAACCCTCTACAGCTAGCAGGCTCGTCTTTCTTGTGGTACAGAACACTAACGCAGGACGGACTCTCTTAACTTGGGAACTATAAGAAGGCAGTCCCAAGCTAATTCAGCAAGCTTCGAGCTACCAAAGGCTTGCATTCTATTCACAACGGAGCCGCTGCTTTGTAATACCTTTCTACAAGGAAGTAGCATGCACTGGCTCCGCTGAAACTGAGCCTGCATATACCACTTCAGATACCTAGGGAACCCCAATGCAAGCCCGTGCTAACTAAAAACCTTGCATGGTGTCCCACAAGAATGGGCCCCCGACAAACTGCTGCAATGCAAAGCCCTCAAAGCTTGCATGCACACTCGCTGCCAGGCTTTGCTTAAACCTTAGTCTACCCTTTGACACGGCTGCCCTCTACATGGTTACACCGGGACATCCGCCTCGGGGAGGTCAAGTCCTACGCTACCACCCCAATCAAAGATGAAGAGGAACACGGACTGTCACACACTCCCCCCCTTCATCAGGACCTGCGCTCTGATCTACTGATTCCAGGCACACTGCCTGCCTCCACGGACTTGCAGAGGCAGGGCCTCAACTGCCACCATCAAACTCTTGCAGTGAATGGTCGCACTTAATCTATCTGAGCCGCCCGGCAGCAACACACTACCTCCGATGAATGCACTCAAAAGTTTCCGGGGGGGAACAGCAACCACCAGAGCAGCCGCTCCCCGATGACGTTGCTCTCGGGGTCAGCACGCTCATCATAGGACGTGGGGCGCTCGATGTGGGGGTTCGGGGCACTCTGAGCACGGGCCAGCAGCTTCGAGGATGCAGACTGCAGCAAAGATGGGGTCCTGTCGTCCTCAGCGGGTGCCATGCGGCTGTTTCCCTGGGGAATGTTGATGGGTTTGCTGCTGCTGAGCTGCGGGTTGCCCTTCCACATACCTGCATAACAGGGCGATGCGGTTAAGTTTTGGTCCCAGAACCGGCTCCTCAAGCATTCCCATCCTTGTCAGAAAGAGAGTAAGTCTGATCATTTTTCCGCTGGCCAGCGCTTGACAGATTATGCACAGCTAGTGACTAAGCATGAGGAATAGGGGAATGCAGGGCTTCTTTGCTAAGGGAATCAAAATAACTTTTGAATTGAGAAGTAATGTATCACCATACTTGATAAGACCAAGGGTTTGATCTGATTATACAAAACAGACGCAATTTCCTAAACCCTAGAGAACAGGGTATTGCCAAGGCTGCATGAGCAGCAATTTGTCCTAGACGGTCCCAAACTGCAACCTAACTACTATACTTGTAGAAACCAGAAAATACATACAATCGGCCTCCTACGGCACTACTCCAAATGCCTGTGCACCCAGTCCCCTTCCCTGATTGGATGAGGCCAAATTGTAGAAGTCACAATGGCAAAGCGAATATCTGCTAATTGATTCCCTTTTCAAGTCCATATATCATCGCAAACACAGCACAACAAAAATGGCAAGACGCAATCCCTTGAAACATGAAGCAACAAGTACACATTATGCAGGACACCCACAGAATGTCAAGGTTTAATTGGGATTGAAACAAAGGAGCTTTAGCAGCCTGTGTTCTCAGAATTTCAAGAACCAGTGTCAGAAAGCAATTGCAAACCTCTGAGCACAAAGCTCTTTTTAAGAAATAAGCCAACACAGTGCTGAACCAAGCATACACCTGCTGCACCCTCACCTGGCGAGGTCGGGGTGCCAACAGGGGTGCTCACAGGGGAATCCTCCGCAGCTCCATTTCGAGACGTATCCAAAGAGAGGCGACGACCGAAGAAGTTCATCTTTGCACGATCAAGGCAGACAGCTTGCAATGAGCGAGTCAATTCCAATCAGGATTTGCGCAGATTTGCAGTGTGGCAAGATTGACGAAGCGCCTTTTCAATTGCCTGCCTAGGTAGGTATAGCACCAGAAGTGTTCTGAGGGGCGGTTGCTGGATGGGGGCGCAATGCAGTGCAAGCATCAAGAACTCAGAATCAGGGGGCGCTTGCAGACCAGACCAGACAAGGGGAACGAACCGTACACATGCTCGAGTCTTCGCTTCTTCCTCAGCTGCAAGACTGAGCTCATCAACAGACCGGTAGGACGCATCTGGATCGAAACAGACTGCTTTGCGAAGTTGCAGAAGCAGCCTGGCCGATAGAGGACGTGTGTAACATCTCAGTTGCAGCACTCGCATCGAATGGTCCTTGGGTTCGCTCGCTGCCCCTTGACTTCGACGCCAGTTGCGCGTTACGAACTGTCCTCATTGGCTTCTAATGCTTGTCGGAAAGATGGAAGGATAAACATCGAAAAGTGACATCAGATGAAACTTCTCGGACAACCTCTAGACGCGCACTCATGCCACGATGGACAAGACCATTATCGCTTGTGATCCGTTCGATTGACAAAATCTTACAAATGAACGATCTGTAAAGCACAAGCAGATCAATGCAAAACTCTATAAGGGTGCGTGCTGGAAGTTTGTGCACGCCAACCGAAGGCCGCTTCTGAGCCTACTTCTGCCTTGCGCAGCGCTCGTGCGACCCTCGAAGCTGATTCGTCATGCAGATTCATCACATGTCGAGTCCAGCTGGAATACCGTGATTCGTTCACAGGAGCCACGCACTTCTCCTCCCTGATGGGAGATGCAAAGGGCCTTGTATTCCCACACGCACGTGGTGTGCTCTGAGAATCCAATTACCATTTCTGCACTGAACGCACGAGGAAGTCTCAAACAAGGCCCCTTCTTCAACGGTGAGCGGTTGGACTTTGACGTCATAAAGCGTCAGATACTCGCACAGTCAGATCGACGGTTTGTAGCGTTGCATTCCGTAGGCCCACGCATGAAAGTGAGACCGTTCGATGAGACTCCTAATCCGAGGTGGTCCTTGGCAGTCTCTTGAACCTTTGCCGCTCCTAGTTCTTCAAGTGCAGGCATTTTGTGGGCGCCGCGCCCCTGCATGGGCCTCAGCCTCAGGCTGCGGCTTGCCGGCTGCAATCAATGGTGTCCTTTGCCCACCAACAATGGGCAAAAGGGGACCAAGTCCTGGTACAATTCGCTGGGAGCATGGCATCTGGAGAGCAATTCTATTGTTGGGGGCATGTCTCTTCTTCGGTCTGATTTTTATCCGTAGAACGCTCTCCCATTCAGAAAAGGATACCTTTCAAAAGATCCATGACGGCCCCTCCAGCCCTCTCCCTGATGGGGGTTTCCTTACTGAACAAGTCCTCGGAAGGAGCGAGAGTGTCGAACTACCGGTTTCGAAAGGTGCGTCAGTCACAGTGTCGGGTGGGACATGCCAGCTGGGCCTAGAGCTCGGCAGCATTGCGTGCTGCGGCCATCGGGGGGCCCGCATTATGGCGCCGGAGAACACGCTCGCAGCTTTCCGAGCTGCGATTGAGCTCGGAGCTAATTGCTTGGAGATGGACGTCCACATGACGGCGGACGATGGGCTGGTTGTGATGCACGAGAGAACGATGCGGGAGAAGTACTACAGCAGCGCCAAGCTTCCTGTCGCAAAGAAGGGTGTCAAGCGGGCACTGACGGGCTGGGATTCTGGGGGACGATGGGGCGCTCAGTCTCAGCGGAGACACCCAACTGCTCAAAGGTCGGGAAGAGACTTGGCATCGTTAGCTGGCGGGCCACGAGAAGACGTCCATTCAATCAGTCTATCACGCACCATAACAATTGACCGCACCACCGATGACAATCTTCAAAGAAAGGGCCGCAAGCTTGTTGAAGCGGACGTGCAACCGAGAGTTGAAGACATGTGTCTAAGCGAGATCAAGGAGCTCGATGCAGGGGGCTGGTTTGGGCCGGAGTTTGCAAGCACACCGGTGCCCAGCCTGGGCGGAGTCTTGGAGTTCCTTTGGAAAGAGGAACTGCAGATGGTAGTGGAGCTGAAAGCGGAAGCGCGCTGCGATACCACCACCGATGAGGGCAGCTCTAATGAGGACTACTGGGATGTCGGTGAGTGGTATAAGTCTAATCTGAAGCTGTTCTTCTTGAGGATGCGCCGACATCTGATGATAGCATTTGTGGTTAAAGTGCAATCCATCCAGTTACCTATGTGTCCTCTGTCTGTGAACTGCCACCATTTTGACTTCCATACTAAAGGAGCGACACAAAAGCACAGCCTTTTGAGGATGGAGCTGCTCTGATTACATTCCTCGATGTTGCCACATATGTAAACTTTAGAGGTGTGAACCTCGTTGCATTTGAAAAACGTGTTCTGAGCTGCAAGATGTCACTCTCTTTATATGTTGCAATTGATCAACAGACCAAGCTTCTTTCGAAGATGCTGATTACCTTGATTTCAAATGCTTGTGATGAGTTATTGCAGCTGAAGAGTTCCATCCCTGAATGCAAGACAAGTTGCTTCCACGTCATGCACGTACGTTGTTCCTAGAAATTTTTGCACTTCCGAGGAATCACCCCATTCCTACTGACAGTGTGTACCTTCCTTTCAACAGAGAGAGAAGATCAGCCGTTCACAAAAATTCGTGTTGTTTGCACTCGAACTACTGACCTTGATGTTGTCCGAAATCCATTACTTCAATTACGAACCAATCTCATCTGTCATCGTGTGAACCGTCTGGTCTCTAACTGTGAGCCCCCCTCGTTGCCAGGCGCATCCAGTAAGGCTATCCACAAGGCCCCGTCGACAGTACGCTGTTCATCTCGGCAGTTTGAAAAGCGTTTCGTGCGGTCGCTGATGGAGTTGCTCGACTCGCTGGAGCATCCAGACCATACTGGTGGCAGAACACAGCAACGACTCCGGGTGCTGTTTGCCAGCTTCAACCACCGTCTGATAGACCAACTGACGATGGAGCTGGGCAGGCGACAAAGTGGCGGCACAACAGCTTTCGTTTTAGGTGAGAATGCACTGAATGCGCTGCGAAGGACGATTGGAGACTCTCTTCGAGACTCGTGGTGGCTTAGGACGCCGATTAGAACCGATCCGCTTGCGTGTTCATGTGGGTTTAGAACGTCCCAGAAGGGCTAGAGTGCGTAGGAGGCATCAGAACTAAGGGCGAGTCCATTCCGGGAAAATGTCATTAGCTAACACAGTCAGACGCGTGCTTGCAGGTACAGCTTACATTCTCCATCCGCAGGAGGTCTACGACGGTAAAAACTTTCTGAAGGAAGTCAAATGGTTGGCTAATCACTGGTCGAAGACTGATCTGGTGATGGATACAAACGCTATGCATACGGGAAGGCAGGTCGTTGCCTGGGTAGCGGACGATCTGCCGGAACTGAGGCACCAAGTTAATCTAGGAGTAAGTGGTGTCATTACCAACGATCCCTCCTTATGTCGACAGCTCTGCAGCTAGTGGTGCATCTCGGTGGCAGGGGCGGCATCGGCAATACAGGAACTTCCGTCAAGTACTGTAATGACTTTGTCACGTTTTGATAGATGAAGGCCATCAGACGATAGTAACAATCACATGCAGGTAGACAGGTAGCCCCTTAAAAGTCTGGAAGAGATCATGTGTCAGCATCCGTAGTTGGTTCATAGTATTATGGCCAATCAAGCTAGGATTAAATGCCGCATGCCCGGGTAGCTGAGGCCCAGTATGCATGTGCGTAATGATTGAAGAGGCCGACGGTAGCAGAAGCGACCTCGGATCGCAAGAGGATAGACATTGGCAATCGCAAATGGATGATTTCTGGATGAAATCTGGCAGTATATTAGCCGCTCACACATGCATATAGCCGAATCAACCAACAGCTTGACGCGGCTGCATGGCATAAATGTACGTCCAGCTATAGGGGACGGCATGTATTTCAATTCAGCTAATCAAGGCAAAGTCTATTACGCGTGTATATTGTACACAATATATATAGGCTCCCAATGGGCCTATAATTTGCAAATACTTGCAATACCAAGCATGCACGTCGCAATTATTATGCATGCAAATGCTGCGACGTACCACGATCATTGCTTCCGGCCATTCAAACCGGTACTAATCATCGCTTAGGACTCATGACGTTACATATGCTTAAAGCATGCATGCTAAGTTTCTCATTCGGGACTCATCGATTGCGTCGACACCTGCTGACAGTTCGTGCACACAATTTGATGCCAGCTCAATCTACAAATTCTAGATCCTCGAAGTGGGTGATTAATGAACAGCACTCAATCAGCTCGATATACAGATTAAGCATGGCATGGTGAGGCGCGCGCGCGCTGCCAGATACTAGTCCCAAATCAAGCTTTTGTTTATAGCATATACGAAGGTTTCGCCACATGTTACTATAAATAGCACCTAGACCTGCTGCAATACATCTTGCAATACGGAGGCATTAATTGGCGAAGAAAATCTCGATCCGCAGGCAATCTATATACATAGTCCAGGACTTGAGGTAATGTCACCGACTGCAGCAGCTTCTGATTAAGTTTGCCACATATAGCGGAAAACGTACAACTAATGCAATTCACAGATTTTGTTATTCTGCGCATGCTATAAGCTCAATGAAATTTGCGCTTACTACAGTGTTAACCAACCTTCATTTGGTTGGCCATGGAGAGGAATAGCGCATGTATGACAGTGAAAGTCTGGCTGCAGTTACAGTAGTAGCACATGCGCCCTTGATCTCGGGCAGACATGCAGGCACCCCAGCCTGCTTAAGTTCCTTGAGCGCGCTCCAGCCCTAGCCGCTTGCTGCCCTCTCCTCGCTTTGATGGTCCCCTTCTCGTTCCCCGAACTCCTTCGAAAGGTCTTCCAGCAGCTGCCGCTGCCGGCTCGTGAGCTTCCTGTAGAGGCAAGCAACAGTACGAGCTCAGAAGATTAGGTCAAAAAACATTGCTAAAATAAAGATAAAATCCTTCAGGCAATGTCGTCTACGAGGCCTCCCCAAAGATGTCCAGCATCGCCTCGATCACACGCAGCTTCTGATTGGCGACGCATATCCTTCTTTCGAGGCTAAACGCGGGGTCGTCTGCAAAGCCAATTTGGCTGATGCATAGACGTTGCAAGTTGTTCACGGCGAGTAGGAATGAAGATACAGCGCCCCGGCAAGAGAAAATCGCAAGTCGAACTCACTTTGGCGTGACCACGTGGAAATGCACGAACTCGTTACCATACCGATCCTGGCGAATGTGCTTGATACCTGTAGGCACAACCACAGAAACATCAGTATCATGCACATGTCAGTGAAAGGATAGCGAATCAAGCAAGCTGACTGCACTACCAGCACGCTTTCTTGGTCACAAATGAGCGGCCAATACACGCATCCAAAACCGTAGCCACAGATTGCTGGTTCGTCTTTTGCCAGAGGCAACAAAGCCCCGACTGCTCAGCCGTCTTCAAAGTTAAGAACAGACACTAATGTCAAGCGCAGAAACTCACCTTTCCCTCTCATTACTGTTTGGTCGCCGGCTTCGGTCCCCTCTGGGACCTTCAGCAGGACGTCGCCAGTCAACGTGGGCACTCGGACCTTAGCCCCCAGGGCGGCCTGTACCACAAAACTTCGGTCAACCTAACGCCTGACGAAGTAGGTGACGTACACTCAAATAAGCATGTGAAATGATCGGAACCGGGCCATTTCTAAGCGGCGCCTCGGTAGTAAGCAAAGAACGTTAAATTACAACTTTCTTCATTGGTGCAGCTGCCATATCAAAGCACCTGGCGCCTCGGGTGAAACTGATAGCAGCACGCCTATTTGGAACTTTAGAGCCAGTTAGATAATGAACGGCGGACCTGGGGAAATCACCGGACAGCCATCAACTTTTTGCACGTCTTGAGTGACCTCTTCAGAAACTGAAAGAAGAGGACTAGCCATTCTCCCGTTCGCATCAGTTCGACGAAGTCGAGAGCTATGTAGCCATACTGCATTCCGTAATCTTCCACAGATCTGGAAGAGAAACAGCGAAAGAGAATTCTACCTGCGTCATGCTGACGCTGGCCTCCACGTGGATGTCGTAGCCCTGCCTTTTAAACACCGGGTGCTCCATCACCGCCACTATCACGACCAGGTCCCCGGGGGGTGCTTTCCCGGGCGCTTCACCCCCCTGCCCCACCAGCTTCATCTCCTGGCCAGTGTCGATGCCTGGACGGAAAGACTGGTCCTTTGAATGCACCCGACATGAAAGAATCAGTGAGGTTCTTTTTCTGACTATCTCGAAGGCAAACCACTCGACAGCGCCGTCGCTTCACACATCGGAACAAGTTGCTTGACCGAGAGCATGTTTGAAGCTGCAAAGAAACGGCCACCGGTCTTTGATAATAAGAGGGACTTCCTGTAGTGTTCGGCAGGCTACCTTGAATGCCGATGAGTGTGACTTTGACAGCCACCTCACCAACAGGAAAGCCATTCGTATCTAAGCAAACCGCAAACGGTCACGGGCGCCCAGTTGCCTCAACGAACACTCTATGAAACCCATAGCAAGGCACGTGATCCTGCCTGGTCCTCGCAAAAGGGCCTATTGCAGCGTTCAGCAGACCTTGGCGGCTGCTTACCTGCAGGAATCTTGATTCTGGTGCGCTTCACCTGTAACTCGACCCCTTCCCCAGCGCAGGTCCGGCAATGATTCTGCATGGGGAGCACAATACCGGTTCATTGAGCTTGTATCGAAGTGACAGGTGTCCCGTCTGCGCTCCAGACAGCGCGACCATGGGCCCGACGTTCGAGCACAGTAGGGCAGAAGAAGATGATAAAAACAGTTCTCCGTCTGTTTCCCATGAACAAGCGCCGTCACTTCAATACGGCTTCAAAGCCTCGAAGCTAGTAGTAAGTTGCTTCCAAGATCCAAGACCACGATTCCCGAGTAGCTTCTGTACGGGATGACCGAGTAGCTTCTGTACCCGTACAAGTCAAACGGTCGGCTGAGTAATGCAACCATTTGATAAGGAGTTTGTTGGTGGAGCAACGTCACACGTGGAAGCGGGGTAAGCAGCAACGGCGGGGAGAAGCGCGAAAGACACGAGAAGCTTTCACTGTGAAGACATGAGAGGCGCGAGGCCGAGCGGCGGAAAGAGATGCTACCTTGACGATCGTGCCGGTGCCTTGACACGTGGGGCAGAGATACTCCATCATGACACCGCGACCCCCTTGCTGAATCTGCGAAAGAGAGGCAGCCCAGGTCAGCGCCAAAAGTATTGGTGGAAACAACGGTTCTTTTGAGAACCCTCGCAAGCTCCAAAAATCTCGCGTGCTCCATCCACAGATTGGAGGGTGAAAGGGGAGAATGATCCAGGTCGCCGCATGAGCGAATTGGACTGCACAAGTTGTGACTGCATGTACGGATCGAAACAACTTGTGCAAATTTCATGCAGCATGGGCTTTCAAGTGCTTTGTGGCTACTCACCCGGCCGGATCCTTTACAGTCTTTACACGTAACCGGCTTCTCTCCCGGCGGAAGACCTGTGCCGCCTGACAGAAGGAAAGAGCGAACGTTAGCATTCGGCAGGAGTATCGTTCGCACACAATCAATGAGAGGTCTTAATAAGCAAGTGCTTCGAAAGGGTATGGTCGCCACTTGTTGCATGCTCTTGCTCAGCACAGCGGGGTAGTGTTGTGATCAGTGTCCCGATCTAGTTGGCGACCAGCAAACTGGTCCAAAAGCGGCCAGAGAAGAAACAAATTGCGGGTTGTTCCTCTTACTGCAGGTCCTGCATCGCGCTGGCGCTTCGTACGAGATGTCTCTTTCCGTCCCTTTCACTGCATCCATAAAGTCGAGCGTTATTTGCACCTGCAAATGCACAGATGCACGGTGTCAGCTGAAGGCTGCCTTCTAGATACTGAGACGAAGGAACGGTTCAGGAAAATGACCTTGTCTGCTTGGAACTTGAACTCTGCCGAGCACGAACGTCAAGTCATCAGACCCTATCGGCTCAATTATCTCTCACGTGCATCTCTAACCTCAGGTACGACTCTCTCATGCACATCTTCAACCCCATTCTCGAAACAGATTTCTTTGCGCCGGATTCAGGATCGTCATAGTTCTCCTTCAGCTCTCCCATAAATTCCTGCCGATTCCAGGGTGAGACCCCGATAGGGACTCAGGCCTAGTCTAAACCAGCTGGACGATTGGCACCCCCGCTCTAAGAGAAGATAGACAAAAGGTGGAAAGATATTTCGAAGGACGTCGGACCTCACCTGGACAGTCGGCCCCATAATCGGCCCCCGCTGCCCTCGTCCCCCCATGTTGAACATATTTCCAAAGAGCTGAAAGAGAAAAGCCCACAAGCTCCGAATCAGCTTCATAAAATGTAGTCATCTAAGCACGCTTCAATCGACCCTCGAGCCAACTTTCGAGTGCCCTTCTCGTTCCCTTCTACCATCGAAACGTGCTTAGAGGTCCGCAAGATCCACTCTATTGCGCGACCAAGTGCGACATGATCACTCTCTCCTCTCTAAAAGAAACATTCGAGAAACTTGATTTCCATTCATTAACTAGAAGTGTGTCGAATACTGGATCAACCAAAGCTTGCTATGTCCTCAACTCTGCAAAGCTGACTCAAGGCACGGTGATGAATGCAGTGCTCCAGCTAGACTCAATGACTCGTACGCACGACCCAGCCGGAAGGATTCTAAATGATTGTGGGTTTAGCAAAATTCGAAAGATGGACTCAACGTAGCAAGACTTGATACGCCTTATGCAAGCCTCCTAATGGTGGCACCACTCACATCCTCAAAGCCCCCTCCTCCGCCCTGCCTGAAGTCGAAGCCAAAGCCGCCCATGTCAAATCCCCCCATGCCTGGTCCCCCCTGGAAGCCGCCACCTGGCATGCCCCCAGACTCAGCCTGCTGAAACCCGTCCGGCCCCAGCTGATCGTACATGTTGCGCTTCTCATCGTCTTTCAGGACCTGCACAAGGCAGAATGATTGTCCAATCTGCACATCTGCAGGTTTCGAAGTGTAGCTCTACGTCCGACGAAGAGCCACACATCGTCCGATGAAACTTTCACATCGCCAGATCTTTCGAATGTGCAAAGATGGGATCCCACTCTGACGCTTGCATCCCTCACTTTCTCCATGCTGTTCAGCTTCAGACTTTGTTTCGAAGCCGTAGCTCCTCTTCGTCCCAAGGACTATCAAGATTTGCCAGAATCGAACATGAGAATCAAGAAGCGGCCATCGCAATCAAACATCCTGCACCCTTTCCTAGAAGGACGTAAGCCGCTCTAGTCAGCACAGAGGCTCAAAGGTCTGCTTTGCATACAAGGCAGAAAGGGCATGTTGCGACTGGCTCGAGATGGCGCCCGACCTACTATTCGCTCTCAGATTAGTGGCAAAGCGTTTAGGCCGAAAAGTGTCTGCAATGTGAACTGGCAAGGACTTACATCGTAGGCCTGCTGAACCTCTTGGAACTTTTTGCTGGCGGACGGGTCGTCCTTGTTGATGTCCGGATGAAACTGCTTCGCAAGCTGAAAGCATCAAGAGACGGCCCTTTTTAAAATCAGTTTGCCAACATGTGAGTATCCTTTCGCCATTCTCAGGCGTGCCAAAGCTCGAGACAAACTGGAGTGACAAAGAATTGAATCAAAGCTCTATCTTACTGGGCGGAATCTCAACGCTGGAACAGCTATTGTATTTCAGTAGGTTTCTGACCTTTTTGCAAAACTCTGCAACAAAGTCCCACCTTATGATAGGCTTTCTTCAGCTCGCTCGTTGATGCCCCCTTCTTCACTCCTAGGACCTCGTAAAAGTCCTTTTTTGGCGCAAGCTTTACACCTGCAAAAGCGTGTTCAGATCAGATCGGCAAGACTCAATCCAGCCTTTGAAGACCGACAGATGACACAACAAAACAAAACTGTCACCGATGAAGTTCACCTTTTTACCCTTTCGATAGGGTCTATGTTCAAGTAGCAATTGACTGACAGCATAGTACTTTGATACACAAGTTATCAAGAGTAAGTGAGCACCAACTGACCAGTTCCCGTGGCATGAAAGTGTCGCACGCCCCCTGGAGCGCCAAAAGCCCTTCCGCTGGTGGAACAGTGGCGCCACTGGCCCCCAAGGCCACTGGTCGCTCTGTGCCACCCATCCTGCCGGCCAGAACCTGTACAGCAAAGGCATAACATCAAACTTCAGGTACCCTGCAATTGGATAGCACGCACAACGACAAAGATGCGAAATCTGTTCACACTGGTGGTATGGAATCAAAAAGGAGGAAGCTACACTGAAGCTGCCGTCCACACAGATCTCATGCAGCGCAGCTGCGCAGCTATGCTTCATTGAGTAAATGAAACATGGGGTAAACTTTTGTACCTGAGTCTCGATTTGGGGTAGGCATTTCATAGCTGCACTGTGCATCTCTTTCATCGCCGCAACGAGTGTGCAGGTGCGCCTCCGGGCCTCTCTACAGGAGTGACAATAGCCGTTATTCTCTCGTAAGTGTGGAAAGGGAATGGTTCAGAAATAAGAAGTTTTTATCCTTCCTATTCTTGCCACCCTGCATTTCAACCAAATCGAAATCCGTCCAGATAATTCTAGAGTTTGCTAATATTGTTGATACAATGAAAGGAGGGTGTCTAAGATCGAAGGTGAACTTAAAAACTGTCAGCATTGCCATCTGCGTTCAAGCTTTTCTCTTTCCGTGCAACTTGATGTGCTTTGCATGGTCAGAAAACTTTTTTCCAAGGGCCAAGAGAACTTGCATGTCGTCTATGGAGATAGCAATCTCCGAACTCCGCAAGATCAAGCTGTACAAACACTGTACCACCCAGCTGAATGCCACAAGGCTTTTTTACAGAATTTAATCTCCAATGGATTACTGCAGCAGCTGTTACAATCTGGAGAGAAGAGCCCCAATGCCTACCACAGAAGACTCGGTGCTGAGAACTTGATGCTGGGACGCCGCGATCCAACCCCGCAGGTCCTTGGCGAGATCTGAACAGAGTTTCACTCGAGCAGCGACGGGCTGCAAAAGGCGGGCCGCCATGCTTGCTTCAAGTCCTCCAGCGCATCACTTCACCTGCTTCTGAAGCTGTCGCCTTGCTTGGGCAATAGCTGATCGGACATGTCTGAGGCTGTAGAAGGTGGTACTTTCTAGACACTCAGGTTGCAATGTCCGCCATACCTAGATGTAGGGCCTGCAAATAACCCGTGGTAATGGTTTTTCTGATGTCAACCATTACCATTCTGCAGCCTGCCTTGGCCCTGAAAGCTTGGGCCCTGCAATGCCCTGGACTCGGAGGCGGGCCGGGTCCTTCCTGGAACTCTGCTGCTTGCGGAACTTGAAGTTGTGCACAGCATTTTGTGTGTCTGTATTCTGGTGGTGCGAAGAGAGGTTCTGGGATAAGCTGCTGGTAGCCATGGCAGACACGCCTTCCACCAGCAGCAAGGCAATGGACTCGCTTGAGAGCAAGTTGAACCACCTTACCGAGGATCTTGCACGAGCGCGGTCCGTCATCAGAAGCCTACCCAATGAGGAGGACTACCATTTCTACAAGCTGTTCCCTGACTTTAAGCAGCCTAGCGATGCAGCTGGGGAGAGGATCAAGAAACTGCTCTTACGGTTCGGTTCAATTGAGGAGTGGTCAGATGAGCCGGACGAAGCAGCGGAGTGGCTAGTCACAGTCATGGACGACCTACTCGAACAGGTGTGAATACTCTCATGATCACAAGACACCACCACCTTCTGGTTGGTCTTGGCGGGAGTTTTTCTCAATTCTTTGTGATCTTCATCAAGCACGCAATGCTTGATGGTGCATTTTGATGGAAGGAGTCCTTTTGTTTCAGATAGACGCCCGCGGAAACCCTAATTTGAGCAAACTCTAACCTGGCCTACCTTCGTCCCTGACAGGTCGACAAGTCACTAGATGCAGCAGAGAAGGGAGAGTCGCTCACAGCTGGCAAGGCAGGGGGTGTCGCAAAGACTTCGGTAGGCGCCTCAGTAGCCAGTCACGTTGTGGGGAAGAATCTCCAGCCTCCAGTGCCCCTTCACATCCCCACGCTCCGGAAGCCCCAAGAGTTGTTCACTGAAGCGATCAACAACTCCAATTCACCCTTTCAGTCCAAGGGGCCCTACCTCTCATATGACGGTGGAGAAGACAATGCTGTGGGGGTGCACGCCGATGATTGGAACACAATCCTCAGCCGGCGGGCTGGGGCTGACGTCGCCGCTGACGTCAGCATCTCTGACCGTGCCCCTGCTGCTGCGGAACCGAGCGGGCTGCACAGTGCTGAGCGGGGACAAAACGGTGCAGGGGCCAACGCGCCGGAATCTACAGAAACTAGAGCGGAGCCTGTTAAGCGGCCGAGGTTGACAGTAGACACAAACAGTCTTACTGGTACCAGCCGGCCAGTGTCGATGGCATCTCTCTCGAGGGGGGGATCCCCCCGCTCGGCGTCCCCTTCTCGAGGCCTCCTGGCCCTCGACATGCACGCAAAGCGCCTCGGGGTCGGGTCAGCGAAGCGGGGGCGAGTCCACCCGTTAGACAAAACGCTTCGGGAGCTTTCCTACCCCCCCTGGCAGTTCCAGGCCCCTCCCGACCCCCTCCCGGAGCCAGAACCGATCGATGCCCGGCCGATAGAACTCACAGACACTCTTCTGGGGTTGAAGAAGATTGCGGAGAAACTCGCGAGGGAGAGGGAGGTTGCGTGCGATCTGGAGGCGCATCACTACCGCAGCTTCCAGGGGTTCGTGTGCCTCATGCAGCTGTCGACGCGCACGGAAGACTTTGTGGTCGATGCAATTGCGCTGCGGGAGCACATCGGGCCGGCGCTCGGGCCCGTGTTTGCGGACTCGTCGATCCTTAAGGTACGGTTTTGGAGGGCTCTTACTGGAAGACGGCAGCATGCTTCTTGCTGAGTCCTTCTGAAGCTTGTCGATGTGAGGAACGTACTCTAAGCTTAGGTCCTTGCCTTTGATATGGAGCCCCGTTGGGTCGCGTAGGAGTCCCCTTCTTGCATATGTTCTCTCACCTTCAGCAACTCTTTGCACGCTTTTGACATTTTGATTCCCTACGTTCTTAAAGGATCAAGTTCGGCGTTTCTCATTGCTTTCCATCGCTTCTTCTCACCTTTAGCAACTAATAGCACGCTTTGACCGTTGGGAGAATCTACCTTCTTTAGGCCCGACGTTTACGTCCTTCTTCCATTCCATCAAGGTATTACTTTCAGCCTTCGTACCCAGTTTCGAACTCGACCACTTACATTCGTCGATCCGCTCCAGGTGCTCCACGGCGCCGACCGCGACGTCCTGTGGCTGCAGCGCGACTTTGGCATCTACGTGGTCAACATGTTTGACACCGGCCAGGCCGCGCGCCAGCTGGCGCTCTCGGGCTTCGGGCTCGGTCACCTGCTGGAGCACTTCTGCGGGGTGCACACCGACAAGCGCTACCAGCTCGCAGACTGGCGCTTACGGCCGCTGCCAGAGGAGATGTTCAAGTGAGGCATCTCGTCGTATCTCGTTCTCTTGGCGAGCCTGTCTGGAACTTACACGTCTTTCTTACCTCGTTGCATAGAACTGCGAAGAGTGTTGTCTGAAATAAGGGTCGGCTTTTAGATCCTGAAATTGCGTGCCTGACTGTTTTCTGCTGTACCACGTACCTACTGGATTTGGAGTCGGTGACTTTCTGGGATTTGAAGGAAACGGGTCGTGAACTCGCCTCGTCGTCAAGTAGCAGAGTAGTATGAAGCAACCGGAATGATTTCCTGACATGATTGAAGAAGAGTAATCAACGTTATTTCGACAAACTCGAAACTCGGGCAGACACGTGATTCAGTAGATTTCGGCCGGCTTTATTGGACTCAAGGGAACGGCCCAATTTCTCAGGACTAAGCGAACGGAGCTAAATCGGTCCGGTCAGTGCTGGAAAGCTGCATCCCGGCTTGCCGGCACTATTTCGTCGATGTTCCCGTCACTCGGACACCAGGGTTTGCAAACAACGAAACTGGAACTTTACTGAGGCTGGAGTACGATAAGGCCGTTCAGAATTTGATAGCAGTTTGCCTTCGGAATTATTTCTTAACGACCAATTCGACAGCAACTGAAAGTGCCCGGCTCTTTTTTCAGGTATGCTCGCATGGACACGCACTACCTGCTGTACATCTACGATCGGATGCGCGGCCTTCTGCTGGATAACGGCTCGAAACGGAAGAGGCGACGGAAGGATGGAGAGAGCGGAGAGTCTTCGGACGACCAGGACGCTCCACGCAAGGACCTTGTCCAACAGGTAAGGCGTCCGAATCTGGTACAACGATCGAACGCTCAATCAGGGAGTAGTAAACAGGTATCTTGATTGATACCGCACGCGCCATGGAGTAGGCCATACTGTGTTGAATCTTGGAGTCGCTCGAGAGACCCCCCGGCTGCAAACAGCCACTGCCATACGATTGTTGGGGCTTTTTGCTTGGTGCGCTCAAGCGGTCGAAGAAAGGGCGATCACGGCGAAAGGGACTCCAAGTTCGTGACGGAGACTGACTGGCCCTCTTCCTGCAACATTTTGCGCTGCATGGATCCGCCAAGCTCTCGCACAGATTGGAAACACAGCTGCAATCAGAGACCTTCTCAAAAGGCCTTCTCAATAGACGGTTCTCTGCGTCCATGAACCCTTGCAACCAACACAATTGTAATCAGGCCAAGAACCGCCACTTTGTTTTCCCGCCCCGTCACTGAAACCCCTGCGCGCAGGTGTTGGACCGCAGCCGCGACCTGTGCCTGGCTGTTTACGAGAAGGAGCTGTTCCGCGAGACGTCGTACTTGAAGCTGTACAAGAACTACGGGCGCCACCTGAACAAGCAGCAGCTCGCGGCACTGGCCGGGCTCTATGCCTGGCGCGACCGAACAGCCAGGTCAGGCGGCAATCAAGATATTGCTTCTTCTCACCGGCGCTTTTTGGAACACGTGTAGGTCATTGTAAACATGATTTTAACCGGTACTGCCATGATAATCACGTTCGTCGCATGCCGTTCCCTTTTGCGCCGAGGTGATTCTGTCAACACCGTTGTGCCTCGCACTTGTTTACGCAGATTCGTTTCTGAGTGTCGTACTCTAAGAATTTCAAGGGCTTTCAACGGTCGAACTTCATCTTTTGAAGGGTGGCATAGAGGATCACCTTGGTTGTTTTTGGGGCAAGGGACATCAGGCGCTAAGTAAGCCTCGCCTCAACTATTGGCCCGCCCCGCATTTATGCAGGGAGCAAGACGAGAGCTGCGGCTACATTCTCCCAAAGCACCTGCTGCTCCGTCTTGCGGAGGAGCTCCCGTCGGACGCCCGCAAGCTCCAGAGCATCGTCCGCGGGCAGAGCCCCGTCGTCACCGCGCGCGCCGCTGACGTCATCGAGGTGCTGCGCGCCGCGCGCGAGCAGGCGAGCGGCGCGGGGGGCGCGGCGTTCGACCCGGCGCTCTGGGAGGGCGCTGACGTCATCTCGGACTTCCTGACGTCAGAGGACGAGGGCAGCTCGGACTTGCTGGAGGCGCTCGCG